CTATATGATTGAGAAACTTGGTGCGTCATGAAAAGCGATTCCAACAAACTACAGACATTGATCAACAGCTGCCGCCTACGCCAACTCGATACCGAAGACCAGATGGATTGCCAGAATAATAAGAATAAGCAACAAGGAACTCTGGCTGGTTGGCAACGAACCAACCAAGAAGCTATCGCTGAACAAATATTCAGAGGAAAGTGGAGTTGGATTGTGTATACACTGAGAAGACCGATTGTGGACATCACGGGCCAGACCAGACCGTCGAGTGGAATTCAAAGGGGAAACGACGAGTCGGGCGTCCGAGGCGAAGGTGAGATGGAGGAGATGGTGTGAGGAAGAAATGAAAGCTTGTGGGCAGTCGTGGAGTCAGGTTAAAGAGAGTGCAGAGAGCGGAGTGGAATGGCGACGTGCTACTGAATCCCTAAGTTCCAGTAGGAACCCTAAAGGCTAATAATGATAATTTATTAAGCGTTGTAAGATGATTTGCTGATAAATATTATTATATATTATTATTAGTCCCTTGGGTTCCTAGTGGAACATAGGGCTTCAGTAGCACGCCTCCAGTGACCTCTGTTCTCTGAGATCTTTTGAACTTGGTTCCACGACAGCCCACAACCTCTTATTTTGATAAATATTAGCCCATGCTAATGCCTATATTCTCCACTGATTTGTCACTCGTGAGTAACCAGTTCATCTTGTCTAGTCCTGGCTGCTGACCGAAATCTATCGTTCATTGGTCAATATGATCAGCAAGATAGGAAGCTAGGATGGTGTTTGCTGGTCAGTTGCAGGAAGCTCAGGACCTCGGTTTTGTGCTTGTCGGGACTCTTAAGCCGGGCGTTTCCTCAACATTGAGGGAACTGATGTCCCCTATGAGATTCCAACCCGCATCACCAAGTGTTGTAGTCAGAGACGTTACTACTGAATAGCCCAAACAGCTCGTTATTTACGTCGCTGACTACAACATTTGGTGATGAGGGTCAGAATCTCATAGGGGACATCAGTTCCCTCAATGTTGAGGAAACGTCCGGCTTAAGAGTCCCGACAAGCACAAACCTAGGTCCAGAGCTTCCCGCCGATTGCTTCCAATCAGCTAGCATCTTATACTATTCATACCTGAAAATACACCATGTTACTGCTGTTAGATGTAAGCTGTACACGAAGGATAGTCATCGCTTTTTAAGGGTTAGGCGGTCTTATCATACTGTGTTTCGTTCAGGTTTACCTCAGGTTAAATGAAATCTGTGAACACGGTATCATTCAAGTGCTTCTACGTTTCATTATCTTCAACAGATTACTGGGTTGCAATTTTATTTTCCTTCTTGAGGTTCAGGAGATTATTTTAATACATAGAAGTTTTGAGGAAATTCATAGGGTGAAACAATGACTTCGAAATGTATACACTAGAAACGTGAAGCAATAAAGTCTTTGTTTAGGCTAAACACTCGTACTTGCTGGAATCGTTTACTTCAACATCGTTCAATGAATGGACTAATTTTGAAATTTTAAATTTTGTTAATTCCTAACCGTACGCTTTATTTGCCCAAAGTTATATGACAGTCTATGCAGCCACTCGTAAAGTGGTTAGCCACGAAGATAGTGGTTTGGGATTAGAACTTCTAATGGTAAAGTGTTATTATAGATCATGAAAAACACACATTTTAACTGTCAGTGTAAGACACATTCAAGTAGCTCCAGGCTAACGAGAAGTACTCTAAGCTCTCGTAAACCAGCTTTTATACCGATAATCTTAGCGATAGATAGGTTAGATATATTTTCAAGGTAATATTCCACAAAATGTCTGTATTGAAGCAAGGTGTGCTATTGAAATTTTTCCAAAGGCAGTCACTTTTACGTAGTCAAGTCGTGTAGAAGAAAGTCACTTTTTCAAAGACCTTGTTAACTGGTATACAGTATCTGATATTCATGATGTCAGTCAAGTAGACCTGTTATTCAACCTGTTTGTAGCTGAGACCAAAACTGCTTCTGTATGTATGAGGTGAAAAATAAGGTTATTGAACCAACTGAGTAACCTAAAGTCCTTCAAACCAAGTAGTATTTTACTTGGTCAATCATGGTTCGTATAGTCATTGTTCTATGTAACAAGTATAAAGTAGAAAAATATGTTTATTCAGACGACTCAATAATCTATACGTCATTATCAAGAGTAAAGGCAAACTAGTAGATTTCACCTTAAGACTTTCAAATGGCCAGCATTTGATTGATGAATAGCACTCATTTTTGTTGAGAACTTACACTAAACCAAAAGCCAGTCAGTTTATCTATTCATTTACTGTTAATACAGTGTCATTTGCTACCATTTATACTCATAAACAGATTTCGATAAATCTATCATTGTGTGGAAAATTGGAAATTTCCTTTTGCATTTATATGCATCATCTGTGAAGTTAGTAATTTAAGCATTGATAATACTCATGGGTGTTTATGATGAACTTGTTTATCAGTGTGAAATTTCAAAGCAGTGAGTCAACATCCATCAGTTTGTCATTTTGTATTTTTTCTTACCTTGGTTGACTCGCTTTTTGATGTCGATAGCATCTTTACATACACTGAAAAAAGTTTACTAAACATTATGGTGATGTGGTATATTAGCTTAAACATTCAACTTCTAGGTAATGAGTTTTGAGTTCAAGCTTTGTCTAATCTGTATCAACCAGCAAAATCGATCGGTAATACAAGTCGTGACACAATAAGTGTGTGACTTCTAGCCTAGTCCATACATTTTTATTGGGTCGGGTTGCAGTTATTCATATTGTACCAGGTTTACGTTTTAAATAGTAGATATGTAAAAAGAAGATTTAAGCAGTAAACTGGTTACGGAACCATAACAGAGCCTATAAATTAATGACGCCGTTCTACATTGATTAATTTTTTTCTCCGCTTTTCTCCGACTATTTTTAGTTATTAACTAAATGTTTGTTCTTCTTGAAGTTATTCACAACGGCTGAGTGATATGGCTTAAATTTAATGGTAGGAGTGTTAGTTACACTAGAGTGTCTTTCACAGCTGATTATTTCCACTTAACGTGTGTACATTTAAATGTTCTCGTTTGTTTTATTTCTACACACGTGTAATGTTAAACAAATTTTTACATGATTGTTAAACAAAAAGCTGAACCAGCGTCTCACTTCCTCCTGCGAAAATAAATTGTTGATCATGGTAACTTACCTTTATTCTCATTCAATTCAATTTCACGTTGGTTTCGTGTTTACTTTTTAAACTCTTGGAACTGGTAAATGAAAGTGAGAAACTGTACTTTGTGAACTACTGAAGTACTTTTTTTGCCGAACAACTTCATCCGACAGATATGAGAATCTAATAGTGATTTTGTTAGGGATCTTTTACTGGCTCTTGTGTCATTCAAAATAACTATTCTCTTCAGTCGAGAAAATTGTACTAGTTCGAGAAATCCAGATGTACACCATCAGTAAAATTCATCAACAATGCGTGCAGTTGTTTAGCTAACATGAAAATGATATTTACCAGAATTTAGCAGAAAGGTGGGTAAAGATCTAGGCAAACACTACAATCTTGCAAACTAACAGTGAAAGGCTTTTTCAACGAACAGATAATTACAACGTTGCTATAGAGATGATTAAAAATAATTCAAAGATGTTTAGAAAATCAAAGCAAAATGTTTTCTCTATTTTGGTGTACAAGTCATAGTTCCTTTTATCTTGATTTTCTGAGACGGCTGGGATCAAATTAAAATATCTTTTCATGAAGTCATCAAACTTCATGCTCAAATTGTTTTAGTACATTTGTAATGATATTTATAGTCTGGGAACTCATTATTCGCAATAATTTTGAGGGAAATAAAATTGATGTTGTTGACTATTCCTTGTTCTAAGAACCTTTTAAACACTTCAAGTCACTTCATGTATTACAGAGCAAAGAAGCAACCATCAACATATTCTCATATTCATCACCTGATTGTAGTTTTAAGTGACTCACTGTTTGGTTCGTTATTTGGATGATGAAGGTGAGGATGTTCACCTCATTTGTCATGTACTGAAGTTAGTTATCTTGAGCATTGGGACACAAAAGTGAAAAGCACTCGGTATTTCTCTTTCTAATGTTTCATTTGTCACACTACTGGGTTTGCTTTTCTATGACACAAAGCAAAATTCTATCCATTTTTTCAGCCGGATGTATGGTTTTATCTAACTGTAGGATAACGTGATATTATTTTTTCGATGCTGATCTTTGAAAACTACTGGACAAATGCAGTGATGACCTTGAAGAAACTCATTTTGACCACCTGAGATAGTCATGGTTCTGCAGACTTGGATTACTGATACGAGTGATGATTGAAGGTGTAATGAAAATTTGGGCCGAGGCAGGATTTGAATCAGCAACCTCCAGGTCACTGGTTTAGTGCTGTATCAACTGGGCGATGAGACCTGGCTGATGAACGGATTTGGACTGGGATGAGAAGTCCTGACTAGACAGCCAGTGTGAGTACGATCGAGAGAGAGTAGCGCATTACGAACTCACATGGCGGTTTGGCAGAATCCTTGATGACTGAAGTGAAATAAAAATCCGATCAACAGTGGTGTCTCGTATCTCAATTGGTAGAGAGAGCACCGGGCAGGTAACTCGGTGGTCTTCGGTCCGAATCCTGCCGTGACCGAGACTTAAAGGAACTGTTTTCACTCACATCTGACTTCTGCAAAGTCGGAACAAGCTTGATGTCCATGTGTAGAGTTCGTTTTCTACCAGTTATGTGACCGCCTTAGGTAATGTCGGTTGTCTATTGAAGCTCCTTTCCATGAGAAGATATTTAGTTATCTTAGGAAATACGGTTATCGTCTGTTTATGCTACAGACATTTAGGAATTTACTATACCCTTAAATTCACACCCACCGTGGAACTACTGTCTCGCACTGATCCCTCAAAATACATATTTTAGTCAACGTTTGAGTTTTCATCACCTTTATCTATTATGGCTTTTTTTCCCACCAAAAAAAATGCAGGGTAATGTGAACTATTGTCGAGCACGTCAAAGTTTAATGTTCAGTCGTTTCTATACAAAAGCCCAAATGTCGAAATTATTTCCAATCATTGAACAAGGCATGTCCGATTCTGGTTCATTTGATAATATGATGGAATTCTTGTGTCAGGCTGGTGATTTCAGCCTACCCGAGGCTGTTATGATGATGATTCCTGAAGCGTGGCATAATTTAGACCCAGAAAAAGGTGAAATGTCCAGAGAAAAATGGAATTATTATAAATGGGCTGCTAATAGTTTTGAACCTTGGGATGGACCGGGTAAGTTGGCATTGATTTTCTTCGATTGATACATGTTTGAGGTCTACGCCTATGATAATGAGTTACTCAACTTTATTGTACAGTAAATATTGGGTATTTCATTGAAGGACTTATGTCAATCAAAACTTTATTGTTCATCATGACTTGGAAATAATTTACTAAAACTCTCATTTTCATCTTTCAATTAAGAATATTTAAAAATATTAGCAATTTTGAAAATTTTCCCCTCAATCAATCAGCTGTTTTAAGAAATCATTGAAATTTTCATGTAAAATGGTGTAAATTTGATCCTGGGATAATATTCGGAAAATTTTCTAGATCTTCCAACTCACTGCTGACATAATGGATAGTGCTTGCCTTTAGTTGTCGTTGTTAAAAGCGCCGGATAATTATCCTTACAGTCAGCAATACTTGGTGCTCAGAAGAGATGCTACCACAATGCTGTGAATCCTACCAATCAACCAAACCCATTCTAGTGTGTATGTGCATAGTTCGGGTTGGTGTTTCTAATGGTTAGATGAACAGTATATCTTTTGCAAGCTAGAAATCAAAACACAAACAGGTTTCGGAAAACAACGGTAAATTTCACAATAATCTTGCATCAAATCTTCTGTTCTCCGAATATATATGTATGTGTCTGACGAAGGAATATGTAATCCTCTGAATTCTACTGTTTGACTATTCTTCTGTTGTCCAGTAACTATTCTGCTGACTGGATAGATTAGATTTACATCAACACGTTGCTAAACTAACACGACAACAACTTCTGCTGAAGTTTGTTGCCTGACACTGAAACCCAATTCCTATTTATTCACAACAGCACCTAGTGTATATTTTATCCATTGAAAATTCACTTCATGTTGTCGAATGTTTTTGAACTAGTAAATTGTCTTGACTAAAAACATCATACGGACTGCCTATTTTACTACTAAATTGACTGAACGATATGTGAACTCTAGTAAATACCTAAGACATGGCTTTAACAGAAAATCAAAATATTCTGAAAAATAATGTGAACAAATCTTCCTGAAAGCAAGTGAAGAATAAAACCTAGTTCAGTATAATTGTTTTGATATGATACCATCGTTGCTTGGACCGAATTGATCAGTCTCTATTGGCATATGGGCTCCTATGCGGATGCCTCGATATTGCCTGCCTTCTAATTGTATTAATGATGGATCGTGGCTAGCAGCAACGACGGTATCATATAAAAACAATTATACTAAAACTATACCCGTCACACAAGAAGTGGCTATCGTGGCTCGGTGGTGTAGTGGATAACATCCTGGCGCTTGAAGCGATCGCTCCCGAGTCCAAATCCCGTTGGGAACAACATCACTCACTGGGGAACAGGTACATCCAGCTGACGAGTTCCAAATAGGACGAGACGCGCATCCTGGATTCTACTGCTAGCCACGATCCATCATTCATAAAATCTAGTTTAGTTGTGTTTCAATAAAAGGATCACAATCTAGATGAGTATAAACTACTGATGACTTCTAGTAGGATTGACTATACTTTTCACCATTTCCTAGTTCATTCTACACGTGGAACTTTAACATTGTTCAAAAAACGTTTATCTCACATCCATTTTTTCACTTCAATGCTACATCGCAGACACAATCAATGGCGTAGATTTTAAATTTGTCTAACTATCTGTTAACCAACAGAGTGTTCCCTGATGATGAATCACAGTTGTCTAACTACAGTCACCATAATGTATTGATTCTTTTTTGCATGTTAAGCAAAAACAGTGGGCATAATTCAGAAATATTTCCTCTCCTAGTTTTCAGCCTTTCCATTTCTTTCTTTTGTTTTGCTTAACTTAGCAACGTTTATTTACATCTGAATAAGTCTTGTATGTGTATGAATACATACTGATATGTATATTTCGTATGCAGTTTATTACAAGTGTAAAATGATTTTACAGAATAAAAACAAAATTTAAAACTAAACAGAAAGCAGTTGGAAATTGAAATGAAAGCTTAATATTAAGCTTAGAACTTTGTGTATTGATTTCTTTGCAATTAGCTACGCCTACCTTTACTAGTCGCCAGCTTTCTCACTTCTTTTCTATAAATAGCTTTTATAACGACAGTTTTCCCCATTTTCAGGTAAAGTCATAGATGAATTGTCTGTATGTCTGATTTATTCTTGTTTCCCAATGGTTCTTTTTTGTAACTATCACTCCATTTATTTATTGTTCCCATTTTAATTTCCTACGATTGCTTTATTTAGTTATTATTGTAATTATTACTATTGCTATTGTCATTGCGATTATGATTTTTCATTCCTTTGTAGTAAGTGAATGAATATTGATAAGATTAAAACAATTTGACTTACCTTCCTTTATCTCAGATACATTTGAGCGAATCACTATCGAAAATCTCGATTATTTCCCTCGTTCAAGAATAGTATACGCTAATGAGATATATGTATAGATAGATGTGTTTGGGATGGGGGTGGGCAGACGCAATGGAGAAACTAACTACAACCAGTAAACCTTCGGACAGGGGAGGAAATAGATTCATTTAACTGATTTTCTACCAATATTTACCTTTCCTGTGTTTTCTTTTCTGTCTGTTGTTTATTGATTCGTGTCTAAACTGTGTATATTAATCTGTTATGCATTTACCTACTTTTGTCTACCACATTTCCACTATTTTGTTTTGTATTTTGTTTATAAAGTCACGGGCATTCCCACATACTTATTGATTGGTCATTGAATAGAATAAATCGATATTGACTCGATTGGTTCGCGACTTGCTTTCAACTTTTACAGTGGAAATTTATCTTCTTGCCTCACCCTGGTTATATAACGGGCTCATTTATAGCCGCTTATACGTTGAACTTTACATTACAATAAAGCTGTCGGTAGGTAGAAATGGCATAAATCCTAATTCAGGACGGAAATCCTTAAGGTAGTAGAGAAGATTTTTAGCCCAGGATGAAGAGGTAAATGTAGATAAGTACGTCTAGCTTAGTGATGAAATGTCAAAGAACAAACCTTGAAGCTCAAAGAACATCAAAAGGTTGTTACAGAATTCCTTGCCAACCATCGTTTTGTCAAACTGAAGGAGACTTAATCGTTACTAAAACCTTCGAAAACCATTTTCTGTAATTTCATGGCTTTAAGTTAAGCCAAAGGATGGATACAGGTTCTTATGTGATGAGCAGTCAAGCAGTATACTGAACTGTAGCCAGAGTATTGATCCACAGAAGAAATAATGTCAGTGGGCTAAGAGTACATCTTGAATCCATAAAGTCCTGAAAAAGTAATTCTTTCTAATCTTTGAATAAAGTGTTAGGGTGTTAAAATCAACAAACCAACAAACAACTCAGACTGAAACTTCATGTAGGTGAGATTTTAGCCCCACCTATTGTCAGGTAACAAATATCAGCAGTCACAGTGGTGACAGTGTGAACTGCTGTCTTATACTGTAAGATTTTAAAAACTACTATAGAATCACTTGATTCTAATCCCTTTGAAAATATTTCTTACCGTTGACCGGTCGAGAAGACAGAACTAATATCGTCAGTTGCGTTTTTGGCTATGCCTCCTGCACAGTGACTACTAAAGCAATTCGATTTTAATGCCTGTTTAGGTTGAACTATTTTTAAAGAGCCAAGTTGGTTCTTTTTGAATACTGAAGTGTAGCAGGCTTGAAGATACCAGAAATGACAATGACATGGTGTTGATTATTATCACAGTGCAGTTTTGGTTAGAAATTTTAATGTTAGCGGAATCCAGTCAGTTTAGTTTCCAGCACTTTTGATAGCAAACACAAAATGGTTAGATCTACTCGGCATACACTCTAATCAAAAAAGAAACAATTGCCTTGATTTTAACTGTAACAGGAATAACAGATTCATTACGAGCATGAATAATGTTTTTGTGTGAACTGTTGAATGAATGATCATATTTATCAATTGCTCATAGATATTTATGCATATATTGTTCAACAACTGAAGCAAAAACCATCTTACACCAAAGAAGAGAGAAAATTCAAGTTTGTTGTTATTATTCGAGCAAATACGAATTAATTTACTCTGGCTGAACAGATCGAAGACCGAATAAGGAGCTCAGTAAAGAAGTATGAGACCTAATTTATGGATAGTAAACCTTCTGTTAAAATAAACTCAGTGTTTCTGACTATGAGGCAGTAACCGTTGGACAGTTGTAAAGAATTTGGGACCGCTGATCAACCTTGTTACACTTCATGGGCTATAGACCGGTAGGCATCTCTCAATATCATTTCAAATTGAAACGTAGGGTAACTGAGTAGCAACACTCAAAAAGTTACCCTTAATTCATCCATTCAGATTCTAGTCTCTGGTATTTTTTTATCTGAATAAATGACAAAAAGTGTCTTCAAAATATTCAAACTTCATAAAGTTTCATTCAAAGGATCATTTCCCTTTCATTATTCATTCTACCTTATGAGAGTTAAGATCCCCAATCCTGTGTATAATTTTATCATTTTATTATAGTAGTGCCATTTAGGTGGTCTAGTTTTACGTGGTTCAGTTGTCTGATGTTTCCTACGTTTTATTAATGCCTGCTTTCATTGGACAGAAGTCACGGCTGAAACTAACTTCACCAAAGTAGGCAAATAAATAATTTTAAAATAAACGAAGAAGTTGTTACATAAATCAGACAGGAAGGAAAACATTTTTTTAATTGTTTACAATCTCTGTATCCTCCGACTAGTGTACCGTGGAAGTCTGAGGTGGACTTTTCTATTTACAGGGCCTGCAAATGAATTCTAAAAATTCCTATGAATTATCTTGTTTGCCTGACTGTCAGATTTGTCTTTCAACATAGTTTGTAATTTAGTAGCCCGACTAGTGTTACTGATTAGTACTGCGAGAATTCCACTGTCTTGCGCTGAAACTAGCAAACCTACTCACACGAGTAGTGTCACCTTTCCATAAGTAGAATTCCTCACCGTAATCTGTTTTCATAGTTTGACAATAATCTTATCGAAGAATCTCTGGCATATTAGTAATGAATTGTCTAGTGAAGTCTTTGACCTATCCAACAGATTGGATTTCTCAATAGACTGTGATATACTAAACTATCTGAGTCACAGTTATCATGAATGTTGAAGCGACATAAGTCCTTCCATTCTGAATGCAACAGTTATTCGGCGCTTCATTATCATTCATTTTGTTACTGACTGGCACCATCTGATCTACACTATTCTTTACAGACCACTAAATACATGAGACAGTGCCAAAAAAGAGACCATAGTTCAAGGAGTATCTGCTTCTCAGTGACTCCTAACTGTCTTTATTCTACTTTAAGGGTGCTCAGCATAAGGAAGATTTAGCTGGCCAGCAGTGTGTATTGGGTGCAATGGATTAGGCTGGAAAGAGCTTTGGAGATATTTTGTTACTACAGTTAACAGATGCTGTGACTTAATCACTTCTCTACAGCCTTTCTTTCCTCTGATTTCGATCTGAACATTTGGTTTTCAGATGCAGTAAATACAAAATCAGTCTGCTACGCTTAATATTCTTCTTACATGAACAAAAGTCTGCTTATTTTATGTGCTCTGAATTTTTAAGGAAAGGCATCATTTGTTTGGTTGCGTTTCTCCACAGCTCCAGTCTTTATCATTCCCCTATTTCATACAATTAGAAAACCCTTACACTGGAAGGTTTATGGAATTAAATTCAAAAACCTAACACGATGCTCAGTCCAATTATTAAGTTAATGTATATTTAATTCTTTGCATCTAACCACTGGTTTTCCTTATCATCATTATTGTTAACACCAATATAAAACTCATTTCCATGCACTTACAGTTACCTGTCTGACGTCAATGAAATACATTATCATTTTGATTACTGACACTTGTCCTGGAGAAAAAAAGTTGATTTATTTTAAAACAGACTTATTCAAACAAACCTAACACTTTATATAAGGTTTATCGGAATTAAAAACTCCAAAATATTGTTTTTTTTATGTGCTGACGCACTTGTAGGCATACAAACAGTCGATTGTAAAATCACAAATGGAATCGTCAAACAACTGGGCTATGAAATTGGCAGTCAGCTTTTATACTTACTGTTGTATACTACTGACTGAAATAATAAGTAGTAAGAATACAAGGAAGTGTTTTCTACATTTAATTAACGTGATCAGTTTCCTAGCTTATTGACATTTGATGAAATTTGAAGTCTTATAATGCAATGCCCCAATGAAGAGTATTCTTTAAAATTCACTCCGTAAACTTTGAATAACATCTAAGATTGTTTACTCATTTCACTGTATCAGTGTACCAATTACGACACACTTAACGAAGTGTATAGTCCTCCACCTGGCAGTTGACTGCCTACCTCAACTTTATCGACTTTGAGAAGGCCTTTGACAGCGTCGTCCGAGAGGTAATTTGGAAACTGCCTCAATACTACGGAATACCACAAACCATTATCAATCTCATTCAACAACGCCATTCAACAAGACGCCACATGCTAGCCAAGTAATTCACAATGGGAAGCTCAGTGATGCCTCTGAAGTCAAGTGAAAGTCAAGTCAAGTAAAACAAGGCTGCCGCCTACTATCACTCATGATATTCCTGATTGTAGTCGACTGGATTATGCAACAAACAGTGGGGAACGAGAAGAGGGTGATACGCTGGCTGGATCGATGAAAAGACCCTGAAAGAAGATTTGGATTTCGCCGATGACTTATATCTAATGTCACACAAACTTGAAGATCTACAGGCGAAAATTAACAAGTTGACAGAAGAGGCGTGGCAGCGGAAACGGGACTACAAGTGGATGTAGAGAAGACAGAGGTGATGAAGATACCCAACCAACACCAACAACAACAACAAACTCCAATCACCATCAATGGGAGAAACCTGAAGGAAGTAGCCTCTTCCACCTATCCACGCAGCATCGTTTCAACTACAGGTGGCGGCACAGACGAGGACGTCAAAGACAGCCTGGATCGGAAAAATGGCAAGACAGGCGTTCATTAGCCCGAAACCAGTGTCGAGATATTCTGCACTCAACATGTGGAACAATAAATATCCGGATTTTCAACACCAACTTCAGTCAAGTCAGTGCTTCTGTATGACTCAGAGACTTGGCGCGTTATCAAAGCGATTTCCAACAAATCACAGACATTCATCAACAACTGCCGTCTACGCTGGCTCCTTACTGAAGATCACATGGATTGCCAGAATAATAAGAATAAGCAACAAGGAACTCTGGCTGGCTTGCTGGCAACGAACCAACCCGGAAGCTATCGCTCAACAAATATGCACTGGAAGGAAGTGGAGATGGATTGCGCATACACTGAGAAGACCGACTGGGGACATCACTGTGGACTGGGGACAGGACAGGCCAGGCCAGGCCTTCGAGTGGAATTCGAATGGGAAACGACGAGTTGGGAGTCCGAGGCTAGGGTGACATGTAGTAGATGGTGTGAGGAGGAAATGAGAGCTTGTGGGCAGTCGTGGCTACAGGTTCAAAAGATTGCAGGGTACAGAGTGTAGTGGAGACGTGCTACTGAATCCCTATGTTCCATTAGGAACCCAAGGGACAAATAATAATAATAAATAGTCCTCCACCAGTGGCACCAAAACTGTGCTTTCACACCCAAAAAAGTAAATACTTTTTGTATTTTACACAGACTCGCTCTCAATAGGAGAAGGCAGGCAGGCTTAAAACTTGTTTGTAGGACCACTTCCCAACTTACTTTGAACATCCGACATCAAGATGACTTTTGTCGTAATAAAAGGTATTACCATACTCCATGATTCATTGTGTTTCATGTTTACTTGGTGAAATGAATGAATGAAAAACGCATCAACTGACGTCTCGCTTGTTTATGAGGCTATTGTTTATTGTGTAGGATGACATTATTTCGTTCATAATCAAAAATTTATCATTTCATTCAGTCGTGAAAGGTCTAGTGAAGCTCACTCTAAAATTGAATGATCTATGCGTGCTGAACCTTAACTAAAGAATCATGTACAAAATAAAAACAGTGACTAATGAATCATTGTATACTTACTCCCTTTCAGCTCTGATAGTATTCTCCGATGGACGCTATATTGGTGCAATACTTGATCGTAATGGGCTTCGTCCAGCTCGTTTCTATGCCAGCAGTGATGATATGGTCTACATGTCAAGTGAAGTCGGTGTAGTTGACATACAACCTGATGTGAAAATTATAAAGAAAGGTCGTTTGAAGGCTGGACGTCTATTGATTGTTGACACAGAAGATGGGCAGTTGTTAGATGATGAATCATTGAAGTCGAAAATTGCCACTAAACACCCGTATGACGTTTGGCTTGAAGAAGGAGTAAGTTGTATCCATAACAACTGACAAATAATATTATTTCTTATCATTTTTGGAATTATTGAAGAATATTTACCTCTCAGCTGTTTATGTTTAAGGACAAAATAGAGAACAATGTAAAGAAATGGTGGATTGTATGGTCCATATCAAAATGGTTAAAAACCCTACATGTCAGCACCTTGTGTAGGTGTTTTTAAACACCTGAGTATTGAAGGCAGGATATTTTGTATTTCAGGACTAACGTGAAATTAACATCGCACTGATTTGGCACGAAACTACTCAGAGGTACTGTTCACGAACTTCAGAAGTTGTGCAATCCGTAACTAGTGAGAAAATATATGGCAATTCGTACTTATCCCTTATCTTGACATCATCATCTATTTTTGCATAAAATCAAGTCTTCCGAAGAGGTCATTGATAATATATTCAATTAGTGACAGTAGTAGTAGTAGCCATGCAACCCCTAACTGTGTTATGAACAGTAGGAAGTATCACAATTTTGTAAATACAATAAAAGTCCTTGAGGATGCAGGATATTTACAATTCGGCTTGAAATCACGGTTTCAAGTTTATTTGAACCAGAAGCTTTAAGTTATGCCATCTTGCTTATCATCGATAAAGCAGTGATATGTCTTAGCCCAAATTTTATATCTACAGCTTAAAGTTATGTACTGCCAGAAGTTCAGTAATATGATTGTGAATAGTTTGCGATAATCTCGTTAGATATTTTGAAACCCTATCATGTAAAATTAGTCTACTGGATGAATTATGTCATTGTACTATATGGTTACTAGCTTATTTCTCAACGGGATCGTATCATTTGGGGTTGTTTTAAAACACTATACTCTTTCCAATGAAGAATACTTAACATGTCTTGTAAGCAGAGGCAAGAATTGGATTTTTCACGCTGTGCACAACTAAATAAACGGACTACTGATCGGAATGTCTGTCCTTTCTTACGCATACAAGTGGTGTAAATGGTCTTCCAGGATAAGGGCATCCATATGGTCACACAAATGTATACATGTTCTGTTTTTGAAAAGCCTCAACAAGTGTTCAGGTCTTCTTGAAATCTATGTACAACTATCTGCATAAACAACAGGAGAATAAGCTGGTCAATCCTGTCAGTAGTCATATGTTTATCTCAAATTTCCGGCCATAGATATTTAAGTACATATCTTCATACGGTGAAACTATGAACAGCTTATTAAGCCAGCGGCAGCCTCTTGTTTGTAAACTCATGACTAATTTAGAATGTATTTTGACGAGTGATTGATGAATAACACAGGCATTCTCTAGAACAGTTCTAATGAACTTCTAGGAAATCTAGCCGTCAAGTACCCGAACTGAGTAACTGATATACCTGTTTATTCGTACCCCTCAGTACCTATTGAAGTCTGTCGATTATTTTGAAATCTAGCCATTAAGATAAATGGTGCAACACTATTTCAATATCAAGTCTTTGTCCTTTACATGACTGTACTGAACGACGAGTAACAGAGCTGTTAATTGTTTAAGGGTTTCTCTGTTTAGATATTTCAAAAATGAATTTACACGAAACCACTTCATTAGAATGTGTCTTCGTTAATTGATCATGACCATCTTACAGATGAATTATTCTAAGTTTCTTACCGACCTAGGAAATGGTTTTTATCTTGAAAAGATGTAAATCAAAAGACCCTCGCAGATCAAAATAATAGATGAGATCTACTATGCTTGTTTTGGGGCTATGGAATGGTGCATATTCATGAAGCGGTACAGCAAGTCAGAGTTCACGGCACTCTTGTTCTTAAGCGAATATCTAAGCCCTTGAATAATTGAGACATTTTTTAAATAGCTGATATTTTTGTCCCCTATTAGCTATTCCACTTATAATGATCTTCTATGAATACCACTTTTTAGAATGATCTGGTTCATGCTTATTAACTGGTGTCAAACGACGTCAATCAACCAATTCTTCTGCTTCTGTTGTCTACACTTTTTTTTCTGACAGGCTATCAGTTTACCTGAAATGCATAAGGCATTCGCTAGCTCCCCGGAACATTATAGCAGAACAACAACCTTGTCTTCATCAGTAGTTGATGATCGTCGTTTACCATTGTTCGGTTACAATCCAGAAAATGTCAATCTTCTTATTCTACCTATGCTTAAAACAGAGTGAGTTGACTGTGGTTATCGCTTCATTCATTGTCCTTGTTTAATTCAGCGCTCATGTATGCAGACTGGTGTATGTGCATGCCTATACACTTTTACAGACACTGTCCATATTTACCTCTGATCAGTATGAATATTACTCAGTCTTATACTATTAGGCATATACCTAATCATAACTGATTTGTTGAAATCGCAGCGACAAACTTATTTCTGAGCAATGTAACCGCAACTCAGTAAAAATAAACTAAAGCACAAGAAAGCTGATTCATATACACGGTTGAGAAGATCTGTTTACACTGCAATTAAATGCTGCAGAACCCTTTCATGAACAGTTTGTTTGACAGCTACCAAATGGTGTTTACGGTGATGTACAATGTTTCTTTCTGATAATATGAAGGAGATTTGAAAACCGATAACATTTTCATCACTTAGTTTCAAATTTATTTACAGAAATATGCCCACTGATTTTAATTAGTTTATTTTTTAGTATAGCTGTGTGTGAGCGTTACACGATCATGTACAGTAAAAATTATCTACAGCCTTAAATACTGAGCATTACCATCTTCCTGTTACATCAAAAGCAGTATGAATGTAAATAAACAAAAGCTAGTAACGAAAATCCTTCTCCTGAAATCAACATACTTCAAGCTTTATATTATAGCTTATGATTTCCCATCATTGACGGAGCAGAATTGAACGACACTAGTACCATATAGGCTCCTGGGTGGATGCCCCAATATTTTCGGTACTTTCAGTTTCATGATGACAGGAGATAGCGGCTAGCTTCGGTAAACACTGTCGGCATAGAAGTGTGATCCCAGTGCTGGAATAATCTTACAAAGTTTGGTGCCAATTGCAGCTATAAATTTTAAAAGTGTGATACGAAAGGATTCTACCTCATTTCCATGAATTTAACCATAAAAGAAGACCAAAGATAGTTTTTGTAGTAATAAAGAACTATGAATAATAATGGATAGAATTCGTACCAGTCAGAATTAGAACTCTCACAGCTGCACAGTCCCGACAAAAATTATAACTGTATTTTGCCTCTTTCATCCATACCGACAGCAATTCACTAAAGTTCTCCAGCAATTCAGTCACTCTCTTACAATGGTTAATCCATGTATTTTCTATAGTGCGGTCACACTAGTATTTAAAAGAATGGACAAGTTCGTGACAACATCTGTCACAGTAGCATGGAAAAGTGATAATCATTGAGATCGCTGTGACGCATTTAATTATCGTATGCATATAGGTACTTTGTATAAACAGTTGACTCGATGAAAAGGCCTTTAACTTACATCCAGAATCTTTGTGATCTGGTGGACATTATCGAAATATCTTTTCATCCGGTTAATAAAGATCTATAGGGATCAGAGCTTGGTAAAAGGTTGGTTGTGGCAACAACTCACATGTACTCTCAATGCAGGTCTTCCTTTGTCAAACTTCATCTTTTACGTCATTCCACTGTACATTCTTATTATTTCCTCTTTGACGGAATATGGATTAGATTTGTGAGACTAATCTGATGTACAAATAAATTATTTTAGTCTATTCTTTTAGTTGATTAACGGTAGACAAGCATGAAGAAGACGCAAATTCCAATTTTGACTTTCCCGATGCTCATGATGGAGACATCACCGTAACTGTAAAATACACCGTATGCTCCATATGGTATGAACCGTTATCATAGAATATTACAGTTACACAGTCTACTATCAAATTATTCATATCAAATACAGTACACAGCGATCTTAAATCGTTTAGCTAAGTAATTGTACTATATAACTTGAGAAGTTGAGACATTCCACAACATATCAATACATAATTCAATATTTTATTCAGAATGCTGATAGATATTTATATTTAAAGATATCTTATTTTAGCACAAAGCAACCATTTTGAATTTATCTTCTGTGTTTCAGCAAAGAAGCTTTGGGATCTATGGGAAACGATGCTCCATTAGCTTGTTTGTCAGAACAAAATCCTCATGTATTCGATTATTTTCAGCAGTTATTTGCACAAGTCACCAACCCTCCAATTGATCCATTTCGTGAACGTATTGTAATGACACTGGTAAGTGTTCTGGTCAGTAGAGTATGTGCAATCTCTTAAACTATTGATATGAATATCCCTTAAAAATAGGTGAATGTAAGTTGTTTGGTATTGGAGGTCGTTAAAGAGTTTATAAAGCTTGAGCTATGCGAGATAAATTGCAACCAACCTCAACCTTACCATTATTAATTGCAGAATGTCATTTTCTGAAGTTGGTATGTGGTGAAGGTGAAATTAAAGCCCGGATTATGAAAAGATTCAAACCAAATGGCTTCCGGATAACAGCCAGATGATCTACCAGCTGAGTTACAAAACCAATGAGTACATTATATTCCTTTGTCTTTCCTCAAGATTACAAGCGTTTTGAAGTAAACAGTGATGTAAAAATAAGTAAACAAGTGAACTTCAGCAAATGAAAAGTTGGGATAACTTAGATTAATAAATCCATAAGTATGAGCTATAGAGTTTACTGGTGTGGAACTTCTGAATGGTCAAATAATTAGACGTAAGGTGCGTCTACACATCAGATTTTAATAGAATGGAGAAAAGAATTGAAAATAAGCTCAGTGAAATAACTGAGCTGTTATACAATATAGTAGGCAGGGAAACAAAAGAAAGCTTATTATCAGAAGTAGTATAGCTTCTAAGGTAGGTATTTTGCTTCGGGGGATTAATTAGATTTTCACTTTCTGATAGCTGTCATCTCTAAACTTCAATAAATCATAATTTTGCTAGTCAGTAATTGTTAAATGAGAAGTTATGTAGTGAGAATGAAGTCAACTACACGGATGCAAGTTGAAAGTCCTTAAGAGACTACTGGTATGTGAGTAACGATGAATAAATACGAAGAAGTAAAGCCAGCATACTGTAGGTGGATGCCAAACTCAGAGGTTTATTACAACCTGATGTTCACTATATGACTACTGATCAAAATACCTAGATAGAACACCTTGGAAACTTCTGGCAATATAGACTATGAAATAAAATAAACAACATTATGTAGGAGTATATATAGACTCAAGTGTCACTAAGTTCGCAGGCGTTTTTGGGGGATTGTTGGCGAATCAGCAGACCACCTGCATATTTCTCATACGCTCATTTCAAGCACCTAACATGATCTTGACAGTCATTATTTCATAAAGGCAAATAGGACAAACTGAAGTACTGATTAAGGATTTGTAGTATTCCATTTTTATATCTGTCATCATGTTTTCCTAGCCCACTACGAAATTTTCACGAAACCATATCCTTGATTACTGTCCATTTAGATGTGTCCGATTGGTCCACAAAAGAATATCCTGATCCATCCAGGGCGCAAACACACCGTTTATGGCTTACCAACCCTATCTTGTCACTGAAAGATATGACTTTATTACGTACTCTCGAAGGAAATGCTCCTGCACAACCTGATGATATAAAGTTGAAAAGCAGCGTTTTGACCTGGCGTAGCTTTATTTTAGATGCTACACTGTCTACTTCTGAGTCTGCCGGTGATATGTCATTGGGCGCTAAATTGTTTCAGTGTCTACAAGACCTTTGTGATAAAGCTGAAAATGCGGTGCTACATGACAACGTGGATTTATTGGTAATTTCTGATAGAGCCTGTGGTGCAGATCGACTCCCTGTGCCAATATTACTGGCTGTTGGGGCAGTGCACCAACGTCTGATTCGACGTGAACTTCGTATGAGAGTTGGAATTATTGTTGAAACTGGTGAATCAAAGTAAGCCTGTTGTTTTTGCAATTTTCTTTCACTAGTTAACACGGAATCAATGATGGGTTTAATTATTCTCATTGTAATGCTACGTGTTACTAACGAGTAGTATAAATCTGTATTCAAAAGTAATGACTTGACCATTTATTTTGCATTAGTTACTGAAACTTATGTCACAGATAAATTATGGATGCTAATCTAAGTTCAGAATTAATTTTTTCCATCTAATTAGGCCCCGAAAAATTCAGAAAATCCTAGAAGAAAAGTAATCGCGCAAAAATGTCACTACATATCCGTTATTCTATTGAATTCGAAATACCCTTTCTTATTCTGGAATGTATTTTAGTTTCCATATGTAGCATACTGTAGCTGCTTTAACTTACTGCTTCATCAGATGCCTTCAGTCTGAAGATCCAAAGAATTGTAAAGCATGCAACGAAGAATGAGTGCTTTGAATGTGTTTATTTTCAGTGATTCACTAATGTATTTAAAAGCCACGAAGTTTCTGATACAAAACTACTCAGAAGTCTGAATTTACGGGGAAGATAATTTTCGGTATTCTCTGCCTCCTAACAGCTCTAACGACAGTATTAGTTTCTCTTGGTGTACAAGAGAAAACTTCACTGTCCAAAATCACTTCAAGCAGAAGTGAAGTTAGGACATTTTTCATGTGACATGTACACGTATCCTAGTGTTCTTAATGGATAAGGAGTCTACCCTTTGCTTAAGGTTTGTAATCTTGATTCCTATTCTGAGTTGCAGTTTTGGTGTGAACTAGCAAATTTCCTTACAATAATGCAATTGCACTCAGTTTTGTAGCCTACGGGTTGATGAAATAGTTATCAAAAAGTGACAATTAGACCTGTGTGCTAATATTTCCTTCGGTTTCTTTTGATTTTAGAAAGTGAAGGTGAGGCTAAACAGCAATAGTGCATACTCTCCAATACAGCCACATGTTTTGAACCATAATCCCTATGAAATTATGGGGATCTTTAAGTGTAGGATATACTATAAACTAATTGTAGACAAACAAAATCAGACTCACCACACTGCGATGGTTAAACCCATGACTTAGTCACCATTCTGCAGAAGTCGATTGACAGAGCTCTATCATTATGAAAGTTTTAACCAAAGGACTTATCATCCCTTACAGACTGGTTTTCACAGTCAGCTACACTATGAACTATTAACCGTTGACTAAATACTCAATCCTAGTGAGTTTCCCTGTTCATAAGTGACCAATGTTTTTATCAAATCATAAAGCTGTTGTTATTTGGTTTTGTTCTATGTAAAGTAATTGATTATTTTCTTCATTCTTTGTTTGCTTTATTTATTATCTAAAAGGATCAAAACTCGATGTGACTTACTGAGACTTTCTTCAGCTGCCATCACTTTTTTTCTTAGTTGATTCACTTGATCATTAATCTATCTCCTGCCGTAGCATATGATTCTTCACTTATTTTTTAAATGACGCATGTATACATGTACACATCTTCTAAATAAATCTTCGTCGTTTCTGTGGAAGATAAATATAGATTCTAAACAACGAATGAGTGAATGAATGAAAATCATCTTAAGTAATGAATATGGAACAGTATTTACAACCGCCTAAAATGATAAACTTCTACAGAGTCAGTTGGTGACAATATTTAGTGGTGAGAGCATGTTTCGTCTCACATGTTTTTGTCCAGTCATTTGCTGGTGGCTGCATTTTAGTAGGCTTTATATGAACACCGGTGACATCATGTAACAAAAGGTTATCTTCTAAGTTATTAGATTATAATAGTTGAGCTTTGTGGGATTCATATCACGCATCAGTAAGATTAGTCGTTTTCCTCTTATTGATCTGTCAAACCAAATACGTCTGTTGAGTATTTGTTTTGACAGAGGTCAAACCTATTTTATAACCACATGATAGGTATACTGAAGCTCTGAGAATGGATACCAGTATTCAACTTTGGATTTTTATTTGTTCTGTTCCAGAGAAGTTCATCATTTCTGTACACTTATTGGTTTTGGTGCAGATGCAATATGTCCTTATCTAATATTCGAATCTGTTTCACGTTTGAACTGCGAAGGTCTTCTGATATCGGACACAAATGTTAACGAAGAAGAACTATATTCAAGTTTCATATCAGCTGTTGAACGTGGTATTCTTAAAGTAAGTGTACTGTCACTTAATGTGACAGTTCAAACATTGTTTACCTTTTTTGCACAGCACTACAGGCTTTATGATAATCAGATTTATATTTATGAAAAAGAATAGTTATCAAGATTTTAGTAATTCGGAATGACTGACTACATTTGGAAACGCAGATTGCCGGAATCTTCAGTGAAGAGATATAATTGTAGTAAAAGACATAATGCTGTTAAATGAGTTGCTTGGAAAATAAGCCAGCTTACTCTGAAACTACCAACTCTCTCTAAGATGATGTCAGTAAGGCATAAACTTCCTTTTCAGTGCAATTCTAGGAGGGCTTATGAATACATTCTAAGGTCTAAGGAGAATAACGATAAGGTGAAGTGGCTATTCAATGACTAATATTTTTTAATTCACGCTACTAGTCAATTTCTATATCAGCAGACACCATTTGATCGTAAGATTATAACTTGAATGACTTCGACTTGACTTACTTACTAAGCTATGTATACTAATCATAATTGCAAACGCTTTCCAGTTACTTTTAGTGTTCAGCTGAAACGTACGTTTTGAAGTGTTTGACCATGTTGTGAAAAGAATATGGTTGTTATTGTTGATTGATAAACTAAATGATCAATATTCAGTCATTCACTTATACAAAAAAGCTACATTTCTGTTCCCAGCTGACTCTGAGAAATGCATACACGATAGTGTCTGAAAAACTGTACTGATACTCCACCGATTGAGTGACAGCAGTTGACTATGAAGACTGTCTTAGATTATTAAACTCCAGGTATCAGTTCCAGAGTTTGCTTTCGACGATTCGATAATCAATGAATAAAAGGTCACTCAAAGATATTCATTCCGTATCAAACAAAGTTAAACTAGCCTATTTCAAGCCTCAGAAGCCACCTACGTCATCACAGTAAGTTATAAATAACCATTTTCGTAGTAGTCGTACCAACGTTTTATCTACGACTCCCTGATATAAGAATGACCAGCTGAAGCACTTTCGATATATGTACATCTGTCCAAATTCACGTATAAATATTACGAACAAGGTATTACATGATCATAATGATCTTGAATATATGCAAATCTAAGTATCTGAGTCTACATAAAATGATGAGAAATTATGAAATGACAAGCACACGATAGTAGGACAACACTGAAATATGTATCATTCCCCGTTATTACATTTCACTTTGAAATTTACATATTTTTAGTCTTTAACCTCAGCTAACGACTCACTGATAGCCTACTTAGCATGTCACTCCCACACATTCACTTAGACATCTCCAAACCAGGGATCTAAAGCTGCCTAGATAGAATATGACTGCACTTCAGTCTTTCCTTCTAATTCTCTTACCCTCACTTTGTAATCTGTGTGGGAAAATACTCTAACTGACAATAATACATTGTGAAAACCGGTTTCACATTACTAATCTGTTCTAGATAGAAGCAAAAGTCTCTCTCCTACCCCCTTTCTGTCATCAGTTTATGATCGTAATGCATTTAGGCACAGCATTAATCTAAATTATGCTAGGTAGTCACTGAAACCAAATTATCTAGCGCTTTGGTCATAAAACTAGGGTAGCAGTTTAGCATACAGAACCTTCATGCTTGTTACCCTTTTTTGATAAAAATTATCAAAAATGAGCTGGGAAAAGTTAATTGCTACGAATTCTTTATGAATATTTAATTTGACATACTTTTGCACAGGTTATGGCTAAAATGGGGATCTCAACACTGCACAGTTACAAGAGTGCTCAGATATTTGAAGCTGTTGGCCTGGCACAGTCTGTGATTGATATGTGTTTCTGTGGAGCAATGAGCCGTGTAGGTGGTGCAGATTTTGAAATTTTAGCCAGAGAAGTTACGGCACGTCATCGATTAGCCTATCCAGAATGCCAGACAATGTGCACAAAAGTACTTGACAGCCTTGGTCAGTTTGGAAATAATCCTGGGTTTTATCATTGGAGACAAGGTGGAGAAAAGCATATGAATAGTCCAGAAACAATAGCCAAACTACAAGTAAGTTCAGGTTCTCTTCAGATGTTTTAGTCACCTTGATTTAGCATAGTATGTTAGATACGATTTTGATATTTGATGTTAACATGCAGTGTCTAAGTTCTGTTAAAGAAGAAAAATAATTGCAATTTACCAATAAAGATAAAATCCCGACTTTCAACTCCATCTTTATGGTCTATATGGTGATCGAGATGAATTTCTTCAGTATTTTGAAGTTGGTGAACATTACTTAACTTTAAGTAGCGTAGCAGATGGAGTTAGGATTGTGAACCCTTGACTCCCATGAATTTGAATGTATTCAGTTTGTGTTAGCGGCACGACTATTCTTGATTACTTATTAAATGCTAATACACCCTTTTTAGATTGTTGGATGCTTCAACTATAACTTATTTGCCAATTTAGTTAGCACCAAATCACAAGATAAGTTGTAAACCAGAACACATATTTGCTGCATTAGTTAAGGAGAAAATGCAATCTTAACAAAGTACACTCAGTACTGAATTTAGTTTTCTATATTTCTTTCTTTATATTCTTATTCAGTTTGAGGAAATGTTTGTTAGGTGCTGGACAGTAGAGAAGTGAAGTAAATAAACATGCGACTTGAATGGTTGATCGAAAATCTGCATTCACATAAAGGGGATATTGTCATGTCTTTATGGTTTTTGACAAAGGTATCCGACTGGCCTAAAACTGTTGTTGACAATATTTCACAAAAGGTGTGGAATGAAGAATTTTCATAAGTAGTAGTAGTACATTACCCTAACTATACATTCATCAAACTATTTAAGCGAATATTGTTTTATCATCTGGTGATCGTTTTTATTGCTTAAAATCAACACTTACTATTATCTGCTTACTATTATTCTTTGCCTGGTAGGCGGCATCTCGTAACAATAGTCATGAAGCTTATAAAATGTTTGTACAGGCTTCTGATGAATGTTCCCGTCATTGTACTCTACGTGGACAATTAGATTTTCACTATGCAGAAAAGCCAGTACCCTTAGAGTTGGTTGAATCAGCTGCAGAGATTGTAAAACGTTTCTCTACAGGTGAGTTTTATTTAACTTTTTGGAATCATTTAGTGTATCCTTCTCAGAGACTCCAACTTACCTATGTGCTTCTAAAATGAGTTATGCATCCAAATCGTTTGCTTTACGCACTTTATCTCCATGGAAGAAGTGATTTTAATACTGGCTTCCTAGTTTGAAGCAGTTCTGGTGTCTAATGAAAACCCTAGAGGAAAGACAACGTTTGTAATAACAGTTAGTCGCAAAGTCGAATGAGTGCTACCGTGAACTTACTTTTACATTCTTATAAGAACCTGACTCCTCGCTTAAAGAAATATGTAGCTGAATAGTGAGTTGAACAATTGACATAAGTGACTAATATCAGTAGACTCCACTATCTTTTGCTACCGAATCCTCCAAATACAATACACGACAAAAATTTCCAGGTAATCTAAATCAAGCCAGGTGGCAGTTTAGTGAATCAATAGGATGCTACACACTTTATTTTCAAGCAACCCACTTGATCCAAAAGATTATTTTGCCAAACAGTTTAGATTATTGGTACTTATTCCTGGTTCATTATTACTCTGCTGTGTACGCATTCATCACGTCAACACAGATACAGAAAAGGTTCGGTTATCTTCATAATACATTATCAGACTCTACTAAAAGGTGGAGTTTCTGGCACAATCAAATTGTGTGTTTCCTAATTACACTAAATGTTAATTTTGGTGGTTAGTAATACACAATTTTCAGTTAAAAAATTTTACTCTTTCAGAAAAAATCTAAATAGTCATTTATAGTTGGTGCAGACTTTCTATCACCCTTTCAGTCACCAACTCTTTATGTAAAAAGTCTCAAGATGAAAAATCTGTTCACTTCCGTTGTGATATTGCGATCTCATTTCTCCCAACAGAAAGTTACCTTTGGCAGGAATACTTTTCAGTATACTGATGCAGTGGTAATTGGGTTACCTGGCTTGACAGAAATGAATATACTACGACATAGGTCACAAGTCAAAAAGGACAGACTGTCATTTTTTGGTTTCTCTCGAACCATTTTCGTCTGGGTGCACAGTTCATGAACGCAACCTCAAATAGGGATAAAGACTGTGCTACCTTTTGATGTGTCGCCGAAGTAAATTGCTTCTGACAAGGTAACTAGTTCAGTAGTATGTCCCTCAATATCGTCATTTTATGTAACTCGCATATAGTATCTCATTAACATTTTACAGAATATAACAGAATCACTGTTAGTTAAGTGAGCTTCCTCTGAAAAAGACGCATATTAAATCTTGATCCTCTTTTCCATAGGCGCAATGAGTTTGGGAAGTATTTCTTCAGAGGCTCATACGGCTCTAGCTAGGGCTATGAATAAAATTGGTGGACGCTCGAACACTGGTGAAGGAGGTGAACGACCTGAACGGTATAAGAATACTGAAATATGTTCAGCCATAAAACAGGTAAACTAGACAATAAAGTGTTTAGCCTTGTTGAAATGTTTATCCTATTATGAGATCACTTTTCATAGCGACACATGAAGTTATGACTATCATTCACAATAATAATCCAGAACATTTCCGTTAATCACTATTGAAAATATTACCTTAGAAATCCCCGGTGTAAGATTCAGAATATTTGTTCCTGAGTTGTACACTGATTTTTACTAAACAGTACTACTCTAGCCATCTACATTGTTTTGGACGAAATCGTAAGACTGATCCATCTTCTGTGAACGTATTATGACTGGGAAAATGACGGAAAAGGTTTCCTGGTGATAATGGTTTGATTGATTTGATTCAATTTTTTGCTTGATGTGCATTTTAGGCTTCAGCTGAAAGAGCTACATTCAAATAGTTATCCAAAAGATAGTTAAATATATTTCATGCTCTAAGCCTAGGTGATACTCTAAATTGTTCCACTTTTGTGATTGCATTGACCTATAGGACCTAATACACTGAGGAGATCGATGTTGAATCACTTCTCTTTTTGTCAGTATTATCTAACTAGAGGATTACATGTCAATCGATTAATGCTAAGCTGTTAGTTGATCACAAGCATTTTCCACCACATTAGTTAAGAAGCGATAAGTCAGGGTTTCGAAACGCCATAGGAAAACATTTGAGCGGTAATCAGTTATCTAACTACCGGGACTACCGTAATAAGTTTAATTTGCGTTACTTAACTGAAGTAGTCATGAGGCTACAAATCATCTGGTGTAGCGTGTAGTTACATAAACAGGAGTAGCCATACTTTTGAAGCAATGATTTCCTGCGCTGACAGTTTGACTTCACCCCTTTCTGTTTCTTCCTACACCCCTGACCTCATATCATAAAAAAATTCACTGTGAAATAAAGTTTCATATATCAGCGCCGCATACCTAGAAAATAATGTACCTAAGGAAGCATATAGAGATTTGTGAAGTAGGTACTTATCTATGAGCAAAGTTTATCCCGCAAATCATGTTCTTCTTACTTTGATAAAAGGGTGTTTTTATCATTATGGATAGTGAATTGTGTTCAACATGTCTAGCAATAAAACTGTATCACTATTGTGCTATATTAGATGTATATATGTAATATGGAATTAAGACCTACCACAGTGCCCAACTTCGATTTTTATATTTCTGGCAGACAGTTGAATGTCTGTGAAGTGTTGCATTTTATTTTTTTTTAATGTTTACGTTTATGTTATATACCTACAATGGAAACCGACACACATCACTTCTAAGAGTAACCTTAAGTCATTCTACCAACCACCGAAATAATCAATTAAATTTCTCAATTTTACGAAAAAACTACCCATTCAGCCGAATTAAGAAATCACACTTTTTGTTTCAGCGGTTGATAGGGTGGCCTGTAAAGTCACCTTTTTTAAGCTGTTCTCAGGCGAGATGAATCATAATGGTACATTTTCGTGTGGATTAGTATTGAGGTGAACTTTGTATTATCAGTACACATTTTTTCCTGACTTGATCCGATCCAACTTTACCTCACTTTGTAGTGAAAATCAAGTAGTACCTTTTATACCATAAGAATTCTGTGAGTGCACTGAATGTCTTCGTTTAATTTAGTCATATAATTTACAGACATACGTGTGCACAGGTTGGAAAAATTTGAGGTGCTTGATTTTGCTACTCAACCATCTCAATAACTGTTGTCATGGTTACAATCAGAGAGTAATTCGGTTGTAGGTTTATAGGAATTTATTGATTTCAGTTGGTATTCATCACGAACTAACATTAGTCGGATAACGACTGAAAACTTGGGAGTACTGGACAGTTGTTTCGTTCTAGTATGGGACGACTTAGTAGTGCACACCGACGATTCCACTAGGGATCCGAACCGGCACTTCCAGATTTCGTGGCGAGTACATTTCTATTAAACCACTGGGTTAGAGAAGGTACAAGCTGTTGATTCATACATACACAGAAAGTTTGCAGTAAAATGAGCGACCCTAAAATCTATTCTCACAACTACTCAAACAGCCAATCGGTTTTCTCTGTTATCTGGAAAGCTAGCTTTGTAAACAAAATAACGAGATTCAGTTGGTTATTTCAGTCGTTGCTAGGATGACCTGTAGAGTCATACCAATGATATTTTGAGTTTCTTGTCTATTTTCACTCATGACTGATAGTAATTTACATACTGCTGAAGCTTCAGATGAACTAGAATGCAAAACAGCGGTTCGGTCCCGATGAAATTAAAAAAAAGGATTTGGGAAACAAATATTGTAAGAGAAAACCATTTTGCCATTTCCCTACATTATCAAAACAATTAGTAACCCAAAATAAAATAATACTTGGATGGTATCATCAGTGACAGGGAGTAGATATTTAACAACCTGTGATAATGAACAGAGGCCATAGAGTCCAGTTCAAGACAAACAAAGTCAACCCATTAAGAATAAAATTAGGGTTGAATCCTGTTTAGTTCTAACTGCTTCTGTCACTTCTGATAAATACGAAACGAAATCATATCCTGCAGTTGATAAAACACAACAACTGACCGTCTGGCCAGTTGTCAACAATAGACGATGCTGGGATTCTGTTCAGGTTGAGCACACTTGATATAACTATATAATCAATAAATAGTAAGAAACTTGTCCCTTATGATAGTCTCAGATTACTGCATTCCTATATCCAAAGTTATAATTATAGTTTAACTTAGAATTAACCAGCTTTTAGTTTTCTCACCTATAATGCTAAAATGAATCTTTGTCCGGCATTACACGTAGAGATATAGCTCATTAAGTGGATTTACTGGCTAACTGAAGAGTTTCACATGTCAACTGTAATATTTGAGCACCTTTATCATGAAGTTTTCTTCGATGTTGTCACTATCTCCTTACCATTTCTATTATGATGCATAACGAAATTTTCCAGGTACCTATTTATAATTTTAGTGATTCACACAGATAATTTTTAATGGATGTGACTTATTTCTCTGTCTAATCAAATTTAGGTTGCTTCTGCACGTTTCGGTGTGAATAGTTCATACTTGGCTCATGCTGAGATGCTACAAATCAAGATGGCTCAAGGTGCCAAACCTGGTGAGGGTGGTGAATTGCCAGGCTATAAAGTTACAGAAGAGATCGCTCTACACGTTACTCGGTGCCGGGTGTAGGCTTGATTAGTCCACCACCACACCACGATATCTACTCTATTGAAGATCTAGCTCAGGTAATCACTTTTTCAATGAATGTCTGTATGTATAGATGAGGGAATAGGTTCAAATGTAGTATCCATAACCGAGCGCTAATTGTAAAAATGACTACAAAGCGACTGTAATTTAGTCATAAAGAAACTGACTAGTAATTATTATTCTGCTCACTAATAGTTAGTATATGGTAGGTAGAAGTCTTATTGACCGGGTAGTAGCACTACAAACAAATGTTAACTGTAAACATTAGAGAGAATTTTGAAACAGATAATAAGAAACATTCAGAAAAGCTGGAAAAACTATTTGGGTTTCACAGTTTGATATTGTATATTTGTAAATTTGCCATCTGAAATGTAAAGAAAGAAATGCTTATTATCCCCATGACCTTGTGAAATAAATGGAAGAAAGGTATTGTTTGTGAGCTGCAACAAGCTTGTGAAGAAAAGCAAGGGCTTTAATGAGTCGAGCGCAACTTAGTGTAATGTCAACATTTATATCTGAGTAGCTACAATACAAATTGAATGGTATTTTTGGCAATCAGGATCAAAATTTGACCTGATAGAGTTGAGCATTGGGTTAATAGATCATAAATGAAATATATTTGTAAAATCCTTATGTAGTAGAAAAATAATGTTTGACATTTCGCGACTTCGTGAAATCGCTTCTTCAGAGGATAAAACCTTTACAATTTATCGATTGTTTAATCAGTGTTTCAGAAGATCGATCATATCCTACTTCTATGGTTCAAATTAGAAATGGACACATAAATTTCGCTGTTTATTACTAATTAGATGAAGTCACCTAGTCTAAAAATTGCCATTTTAGATCTACCATAGCCATTATTAAATATATATTGGATTCAAATAGAAACAGACAGTAAAAACTAGCAACTCACTGGAAACAGGATAATATGGAATAACAACTTAAGTCGACTGCAAACAAAATTACTGAGCAGTGCTCGCTCACAACATGATGTATATGTGTAGATTACCGGCTTTTATAAGCGATTTCCACTTTTTAAACTTTTAGAAACAATCTCTTATTGATTAGTAAGCCAATGGTTACCATGGAAAAACTATTCTAGAAAGAGAGGATAAAAGTTTCGAGTCAGTATGAACAGATATTAGAGTACAACTGGACAAATTTACAGCATGTTTATGTGTGAGAAAAGGAGAGACATACGACAGTGAAGACTCAGAACGAATTAACATATAATCACTAGAAATAACCAGATACCAGATCTGGAGAATGATACAGTAAAGGACAGTCTCACCTCTCTCAGATTTGCATAAACTGGAGTTATACATTTGTGACGGAGAAAAGTAATACTAAAGGCACTAGAGGAATAGTCGAACTGTTACTATACTTTCTCATAATTCAGCATCATGATGTCAAACAGTGGAAACACCTTCCTCTAGAATATGTTAGAAATAGGTGATTATCTCAGAATTAAAATGACAGCTTCCCAAGTAATAACCAAGATTTATTCCAAATTATGGCAAACACTAGCAAATCAGATGTGTTGTATTGGACATAGTATGAATTGGAAAAGTATGTAAACTAGATTCTTGTGTCATTGTGGTTACATGTTCATTGTTCACTGAGCTCTGAAAAGTTTTCGTCCAACCCTAAGGACAATTTTTATGTGAGACTCACAAGTTACTTCCAAGCGAAAAAGATATATTTACTATATATCTCCTGGTTTAGATATATTCTTTAATATATTTTAGTCTGTAAATATCATCTGTAGCCTTTGAATACATTAATATATTGGTTAGACTGTTTAACATTGACTTGGTTGACTGGCTGGATCTATTTATAACCATTTCTGAAGTATTGAAGACAATTGCAAATTTTAGCAGACACAATTACTGTCACCTTCAATTCTGAACTATCATTAGTTTTGTTTAACTATTTCTAATTCCAGCTTATTTATGATCTAAAAGCTGCCAATCCATTTGCTGTAGTCAGCGTGAAACTGGTTTCTGAAATCGGAGTTGGCGTAGTCGCTGCCGGTGTGGCCAAGGTAATAAATTAACATCATTATATCATTTCTTTATGAAGAGCGTGCGTTGATGACTTTATTTTCTTGCTGCTAACTGAAAATTTGGTTATCTTTGAATGCCTTTTACTACCATCCGATCACGTATCTATCATAATCGTTCTCATGAACTGATGCAGTCATGACTTGAGATACATGTAAAACAGAAATCCTAGGCTTACGAAATGATTATATACTTAACTGATGAGGCAGTGGAAATGTGGCTAATTGATTCGAAAGCCCAACTTTAAAGTAATCGATTGAAGGTCTAAACCAACTCCACCTTTTTGGACTAGGTAATCATCAACATCAACAGACACCGCATACATACATACACATATTACCGTAAATAACAATTGGAGTTGTATGAAATTCTAGATCACAGCGGGATTCAAACAGATGGCTTCAAGGTTACCAAACTGGGATTTTGTCGTCTGATCTACGTATCAAGAGTTCATAAAAATTATTCTTTCGATTCACTTCAGTGATAAAATGGATTATTTTTATAAATATCTAAGCCAATTTGAGTCATAATAATTTGAAAATATTTGGACACTTGGCAAATTATATTCATTACTTTATGTAAATGAATGATTTATTTTTAATCATCAGGTTGTATTTAAAAGTCTAAACGTCTACTGAGTGTACTCATACCGTCTATTCAGTGAAACTAATGATCAAACGAAACGACATTTAGCGGTCCTGAAGAAAATCAATACTGCTAGTGTAAACTGATCGACATAATGTGTACACCAAGTAATGTCATGAGTAACTTGCCAATTTAAGATGGAAGTTTGTGCACTAGGCTATCAGTCACATACAGTTAATGAGGGTTATACTAGCTGTCAGCTTGAACCTCAGTAGTTTTGACTATAACCCGCTGGTTGCGAATCGATTGCCTTAGTCACTAAGTCGCAGCTACACCTTTAACTGGTTACATCTAATAAATTTCATGAAATGATAATACTATATGAACATGCTGAAATGGAAGTACTTCCGTGGAAAAAAAGCTATGAAAACTTCCCTTTCTGCTAAAATCAAGCCTTTTAATCGTGAAAAAAATCAAGATAGTGCTATTTATAGATCTTATTGAAAATGTTATTTTGAAGCCAGTTTTTCAAGTATGTGCCTTTTGCTGTTATCGTTTATCTTTCACGTGACTGTGAGTTACGAGACCCTGTATATTATCGAATTCACTTTTTACTACAATCACTGGTTTTTTCCACCTAAACATTTGTATGTGGAATGAGTGAAGGAAGAGTCTATGCACAGATTTTCTGCACTATCTTCAAGTAAGGTGTATGAACCAATGTTTGACTATCCTGACAACTGCAAGTATTTCTACTTCACTTGCATTGAACAGTAACAGAAATCGAGTAGTATTCTAACTACGTCGTATCCAAAAGCTGACTGTTTAAGCAATCCAGTCGATCTAGTTAATTAACTTTAGAGACTTTGGAAGAAAAACATTACCCACCGTTATGGTGAATAGAAAGACAAACTGATAGAATTACAGTGACCATCCTAACACCTAATTGGGATCTGAATAAAGAGTAGGAAAGTTGTGGAGAATACAAACTAGACACAAAGTCATCCATAACAATATACGCCACAGTGTGATAGCAGTACACTGAAGAATGCTATAAACAAAATAAGTCATCTGATGCTGTAAAACAGACGCTATATCCACTCACTTAGAACTGAGTAACAGACATGAAGATACAACAGTGGGTAAATTCATTATCTCGCTATTCCGATGATGAACATAGTTAAAAATACACGAATAATCACTATCAATTTTTAGTTTAAATTCAAAGTACACGATTTGAATAAATCCAATGATTTTTCAGTTGGTTTTCTGGAATTAATCTTATTTCCCATCAACACATTTTGAACTTTCCTTGAAGACAACTGACTGAACACTGAATTAGCCAGTACCTACTACTCTACTTATCTGTCAAGTATACGAATGAGCATTCTATATAACTGTGGTTAAACCTGTTCTCAAAGTCATACTTTCCTGTCAGACATTCGTGTTCAGTTCCAACAAGACCTCCAGATAGAGGGGTATTCAAATATTAGAGGATATACTTTCTGAATGTCATCAATCTCCATCACAGCAGTTTCGCCTTTTGATAGGTGTCACTTGGATGAAAACAGTCGACAGAAAACCTTGAACTAGGTCCCATGCTTGTCTGAGCTCATCAGAATGGTGTGTCTGGAACCTCGAAGGAAGCGACATCTCTGAGATTTGAACCCGCATCACCCAATCCTGCATTTAAAGACGTTACCACTGAGCTATTCAGCCGTGACTAACCTCCTATAGAACTGGATTAGATACGCTGATCACCTACCAAAGAGTAACGAATTTTATTTTGTTCAGTGTTGAGTACCGACCGCCTATTCATACGCTTTAGCTCATCATATTATTGTTGATAAAAATGTTCCCCTTAATTATGAAGTCAACCCAGTAAATCAAAAAATGATTACGATTAATGAAAAGACACCTATTCGCTAAAAAAGTGTATTTTTTTTTACTTATCAATAAAATTGACACAAAGCACCTTAAAAAACGGATTATTGGTAGATTAAAATAAAGATTCACTCACTTACAACACTTTAAATGGTTGCAGTTAAGCGAATTCAAGATCTGTGACGATATATAATAGATATTGTTGAATGTCTAAAATCTGACTGACCAGAATTTCATTTCGGCAACTGAACATCCATTTTACGGCATGCAGTTTAGTTTGCATTAGGTCAGATCCGACTGATCTGAACTAGTTAAACTGTTTTACCTGTATTCGTCTGGACACTCATTTGTTGACCTCAGTCCTGAACAGCAGAAATCATCATTTGGTGTTTACATTACACTGACCTGCTTGGTGAATTCTGCATATAAATAAAAATGCTTTTTTAAGTAATCAGTTCTTCAGAAGTACATTCCGACGAAATTTTTCTTTACCTTCTCTCTCAAAACAAAGACTGAAGCGTGGATGGAAAATAGACCCTGGTCTTCTTCAAAATTGCAGGACCACAACAACTGATGTTTCATTACATTTATGTCATTTTCTAATTTTCTAGGCTCGTGCTGCGCATATTACAATTTCTGGTCATGATGGTGGCACGGGTGCTAGTAGTTGGACAGGGATCAAACATGCTGGACTGCCATGGGAGTTAGGTATTGCAGAAACTCATCAGTGCTTAACTAGCCAACAAGCTCGTTCTCGGGTTAAACTGCAAGTTGATGGACAAATACGTACAGGTAAGAACATTTCGAATATAATTTGTTGTGATTAGTGTAATTTCTATTTCCTATCTATGTGACGAGAAGCATAGGAGAATAAACTCTTCATTAAGCTCTATAGATGGTGACTTCTAGCTTGAAATTTATTCACCTTCAGCAAAAACTCATGTTCAATAAAAAAAAACTTTGACCATTCACAGTATAAAAAGTTAGCTAACATGCATATAATTTTTAAGAAAAATCATACGTAATTCATTTTCTGGTAATTGGGACTTCTTGCACATCTGTCAACTAAAAAGTGGAAAATAAACTTCATAAACTTGCAGATAAACCTGAAAGCATTGATGCTTTTATAATAAAGCGAAAATTCGATTCAATTTTTGACTTCGAAGTAATATATGCTAAACTTTAGATAAATGCACAGACAAAACAAACGAGAACTGAGTACAGAATCATAATGTTTGAGGTTATCATATTTTATAACACCACTGGAAGCGCATGTCAACAGAATTTAATCAACTAAATGAGAGCTATATAAGAGATCAACAGTAAATACATCCAAAACACTGTGTCCAATTTTAAGCTGTAACTATCGGTGTCTAACTGTTGATTTCTAAAAACGTGAGAGCTTCAACCAGAAAAATTTACACCTATGTACACGTTCCAGATAAGCAGTCAGAAATGTATAGATTGGTGACCTGTCTTGGTCTGACAATCATTCTCTACAAGGTTCTGAGTTATTCTATCTGTTTAGATAACTTTGTTACTAAGACACCAGACGCTTATCCATCTAGTTTTGGTGCATTTTGAATCATGTAGCATATCTCTATCACTTCTTGTTCGCTGTAACCGTTACCAGAAATTTGGGCGCTATGCAGTCATATAACACAGATGTAAGGCCAAAAATAACAACTGAGATGGTAAATAAACAAAAGTGACCATCTAGCAGGAGTGTGAACTATTTTCTAGATGAACACTGGTGTTTAAAATCTGTACGCGAACAAGCCTGTCGGCATTGACGAGTTTTCAATGCTCATTTTATAATTTTTGTTATCCCTTCTAATTTATTCAGTAGTATCTAAATGAATTGAATTTGTTAGGTAAATCTTTTATTTAACTTTATTGTTTTGTTCCCTAGGGCGAGATGTAATTATAGCCTGTATGTTGGGAGCCGATGAGTTCGCGATGTCAACAGCACCACTCATTGTACTAGGCTGCACAATGATGCGTAAATGTCATCTGAATACATGTCCAGTGGGAATAGCCACACAAGATCCTGTTTTACGAAAGAAGTTTGCCGGTAGCCCAGAACATGTAATCAATTATCTGTTTCTTCTGGCTGAAGAGGTCAGACAGTATTTGAGTCGCTTAGGTGTGACTTCATTAAGAGAGATTGTTGGGCATACAGAATACCTCAAGGTAAGTGCTACTATTAACTGGTTGCCTGTAATAATTAGATTGAATATTCTAATGGTTTATAAGTGTAAAGGTAATCTATTTTAGCGATTAATCGAATCTTACAGATTACCACAGGATTGTAGGACTGAAGACAGTTGATATAAAGAAACGAATTACATTTTCTCATCTGTTACGATTACTACAGTCTTACTTCGGAAACGCTTTGGCTCAAAGGATGGATTACAGAATGTCAGTAGCGAATTTAATTTTTTAGCTATGAATACAAAAGGCTTTTGACTGGTGACCGGCAACTGGTTTTCATGGCTTCAGCTCAAACTTTCGAGACAGAAGTTGGAGAAGATGCCAAAAACGGAGACGGGATATACTTCCTGAACTGTATAGTGATAGTATATAGTGAAAAACCACTCATGAAGTAGAAACTTAAATCTCTGATTTTTCCGTATCTGATAGGACCCAATTCTCCAGACAAGAGAATACATGCAAGTTACCACATGCTTAAACAATGAAGGAAGCAAATAAAACCACCTGAGTTATGCGTGTGTGCATGCAAAACACACGATAAGTTCAAAGGTGGTAACATTTAAGAATTAAATTTTATATGCGACAGTTGTAAGCAGTTATGAGGCATGAGGAATGTTTGTCTATTCTTGTTTAACTGGGATTTGATTCAACCAGATTCATTTCCTTGATTATTTCAACGTGATATATTGTGCAAATGTTTGTCTGAATCAGTGACTTCTAAAAGGTTACGTAAGTTTAGAAATACGAAGTGCTTTGTTGAATATGGAGAGTTAGACGCCAATCACACAAGTTTATAGATTTTATTGACCAAGTCAGTGAAACATATATCGTTTATTTGGAATAAACCAAGAGGCATTAAAGGCACACAACAAAATCATTCAGATCTGCGTAGTCGGTTTGTAATTACTAATATTTTTCAGTAGTGCGTTTCTTTTGTCCATGCTCTTGGCAATCGCAACCCATGACACTGGTTAGGTGAATCAGGGTAGAAACACTGTTGATGTGTAATCTGTTGTAAAATATATCAATGTAGGCCGTTTCCTTACATATTGGATGAGTTTATTCGAGATATCACACAGGGATAAAGCATTATTCTTTGGTAAAAAGCAATCTAGGGAGGGAATATTCTTTTCGATAAGTTCTCATCAGATTCCATGATTATAAAATACAATTATATGGCGTAAGAAAGCCAATTTTGCGGTGAATACATTTTTGAAATAAACTGAGAGTCAGCGGCTATAAGGAAACCTGTTTTTTTTAATTTGGAACTATTAAGATGAACGCCAAATCAGGAATAACATTTGAACATGAATTTTCTGAATACAAAGGCCAGGTTTGGGCAATCATATCACAACACCCTCAGCTATGTTGAACAGACGTTGGGGAGGTACAAACTGTATTGTTTTTGATATATGATCCACCACTCTAAAAGCTTTATTAGCATATATGTGATGTTCTGTGTTTACTAGGTACGCTAAGGCAGGATTTTTCACCACTTTCACCTCATCTTCTCCAAACGAAGCAGGTAAATGTTCTCGTATCCAGAGAGGCACCTACCGTTTTGGATATAATCACATGTTATGATTATGAGCAATAATTTACACCGCAAAAGTCGGTCGGTAGATAATATTTTCCCACTGTGTTATATCAAACAAATTTGTTCAATATGGAATTACAGTCCACTACAGTGCGCGAATTCTACTATTATAGTAGACCCCATTGTTTGCTTGTTTGCAAGACCACGTGATTATTTTTTGCATTTTGGTAATCTGAAGTATACTCATGAAAACACAGAAGTCAATTACCGTCTGCTTTTTTATCGTCATTAAAGCAAAGAAGCTTGGGACAAACTACAAAATCTCAACTGATTGACCTGGGTCGTTTATTGATAAAACCTGAACCAGACGAGATGCACTACGGTTCTCTGAGACAGAGTGATTCAGTGAGAGATTTCCGTGAAAATCCAACAACATTATCATTTGCAGACCTGTTACCAGCTGATCGTCGTCTAGACATCATTATATTACGCGCTGCTTACAAGTTGATCGATACTCCAGTAGAGGTGGAACTCAGTCCATCTGAATCCGTTGTACATGTCAACGAATCAATCTTCAATTCAGATCGTACTGTCGGCACTACACTGAGTTACGCAATTTCAGCTGCTTTTGATGAAACTGGATTGTCAAATGATAGGCGGATTATGGTTAGTTTTGATGTTTTGTAATTATTTCAGTTTGTCCTTTCATCACCATCATCAGCAATATATATCAGTACATACAGTTCCTAAAGGTTTTGTACTCTACTTAATTAAAATTCTTACATCTTAATGCCACTGACGAGTTCCAAAATTAAGTGACAGACTGTGTAGTAACCATCTCCGCATTGTAACTAGCAAAATTTCCTAGACAACCAAACTATCTAACCATTATAGCCCTGCAAATTACCTAGTTATGTAGTCATTTTGTGTTCCGTAAAGAAGAAAGACAGTTGGAAAACACATTGAGGACAGTCGTGTGACAGGAATGAATTGAAGCTAAAGGACAGAACGATAACTAAGCTATGTAAGCAGCAGGATGAGATGAAAACAAGAATTTTTCGACTTAAGTTCACGGTAAATTTTTGATCAACTCGGGATAAGCAACAATAGAGTTCTCCCTATGCTAGGCATCTAAAGTAGTTTGAATACCTGGATACGAGTATTTGTCAGCACACAGTGAAACTATTAATCTGGTAACAACTGCGTAACCAAGTTACTTGAAATGCATTATTGAGAAGGTTAGATAAAATACAGGTTTATACATTTTCCATTCATACCATCGAACGCGTTGCCATATTTCAACAGATTATTAAGGTCACGGGTTCGATCCCTGGCGGGGTCGTGGGTGCGCACTGCTGAGGAGTCCCGTACTAGGGCGAAACAGCTGTCCAGTGCTCCTAGGTTTCCTTTGTTCCTCTAGCTGATATCAGTCTACGATGAATAACAACTTGAAAGATTATAAACAAGTTTTTAGAGCCGATTTAATCCAACGAAGTATACAATTATTCAGTTGCTTATTGACTTTACAGTTGTTTTAATGCTATTGCTGCATGTGATCTGTCTAGACAGGAAAATTAACGAGCACCAACCCATTACTTTGTAAGTAAGAAGTAACTAGCTTTCATAATCTGGACCACGTGTATCGATAAGGCAGCCGTCACCTGCATGGCTGTATGTGTATGTTAACTGGCATAAGAAAGATACTGTAGATAAATCTACAAACTAGCCCATTATTGATTTTTAAAGACAGAAAAATTCACCTTTGTGATTGGGTTATTTTTAAATGTTGAGATTTTTTGTTGCTTATGTCTGTTACCTAAATACTAAACACCTTAACATTATTGGTAGTTTTATTCTGGGGTGAGTTAGGGAAACAGGATTTCCTACAAATGGCGCTACAGAAGTGTTTGAACTTATACACGATTTGTCTGCTTTCAGTTTTGTAACACAAAATTTCAGCAATGATTTGATAGGTCTATTCTGGTAATCTGTATGAATACTATATAGACATAGACTGCATATGATAATACCTCCAAATCATTCTTAAGACCGATCAGTTGAGGCATGTGAGTCGAAAAAATATTGCTGGCCTTGAATAGATGCTAACACATTGGATAAGTTCTCCACCATTTAACGTAATGAAACTAATTAATTTTCTAGTTTGATTAAAAAGAGAAAAGTAACCAGGAGCCCATCAGTTATTGTGACCATTCCCTTTAGGCGAGTATTTTCAATTGAGGAAGGTTACTTATAAAGGTTACTCACACTAGATAGATCAGCCTGCTCCAGACACACCGTTGGGTTATACAAATACACAAAAGGTTTACTTCACTGGAGTTAAGATATCATCAACACAACAATGGAATTTAGGACGTGCGTTTCGTCCATCTAGGACTCGCCAGCTGGATGTACCTGCCTCTTAGGGAGTGGTGTTGTTCCAACTATTACTCGAATACAAGACCGAAGGTTTCAAACGCCACAGAGTTATTTACTAGACCAGTGAGTCACGATAGTCACTCTATATGTAACGGGTATAGCATGGTTTTTGAATTTATAGCCTGTAAATCTCCATCACTGACTGGACCGACTTGATCGACCGTGCAACCTGGATTCCACTGCTAGACACTTTCCCTTATTGATATCAATACTAAAAATACCGTCAATATCAAGGCATCCATAAATCAGCCTATATATCAAGTGTGACCGACCAATTCGGTCCGTCCAATGACGGAGACTTGCAAGCTTTATCATCAAAATCATCAACACAATACCTTCGGAAAGACCATCAAATTGTGTAAGCTCATTCAAGCAAATCGCAGATATCCTTAAGTGGTCTTTGACAGAAACTGAATTTCAAAATGAATGGTGGGGAATACACGGCAAATCAATGCTAGAAATACTTAAAAAGTTATGTTCTAATGCAGCTTAATCATGAGTAACAGACCACAGAGTTGTATTTTGTCTCGTCTGTTAGAATCTAGTATGATAATCCACAGCATGCATGAATTATGTAGACAGTCAATCAGCGCATGGGTTTCACGGAGTCTTCGTGATTTCTTATAAAAGTGAGATTTCTATTAAAATGCTTAGAAATAAGCTTTCAGAGTTAATGAAGTATTCTCATCGTCACAGTCATGGTCAGTTAATTTGAAGCACATTTCTACTGACTTCACTAATACTTGTCAACATCCAACATCTTTATCCACAGCTCTCAGGTTCTAAACATTTGTTAGCATACTGTTTTACTGGTGCAGAAATGTTTAGCTTGTGTACTGCTTCAGTCTTCCTTCATATAAAATAATAAGTGGAGAATAAAATAGTACTGGTTGTGAATATTGACAATGTGGCTTGACGGTGACCGTTAAGTCATGTACTGTAACTCAGTATGTTGCAGGGGAGAGGGTAGAAGTTATTATTTCTGTCATGGAGTTACACTGTCGTATTACTAGCGTTTAAGCTGAAGATTTGACTACAGTTATTCTTTACTTGTAATCTTATGTTCCTGTATATTTATTGACCTCCGACAGATCCAACTGACTGACTTTCAACACAACGTCTCTTAGAGGATGGCTGTCAGTTATCTTTTACCGCTTTATCAACGACTGCAACATAAAATCAGCGAATGTCAATGTACTGCATAGTTTAGATTGTATAGTAGATGACTGTAAATAATGTCCGTCGAGAACCATTTCTCCTAGTGAATAAAATTATGAAGGGAGTTGATAGGTACACTGTAAGTGCGTTTTGGTTACCTAGAAAGGTATACGCCAGAATCAACAATTGTATTCCCCTTAATTTAATTTCTTATTTGACGGAAATTTCGAGAAACTTCCTAGGTTAGGCAAGGTGTACCTTTCGTGGTGTAGCCTAATTGAGAGTACTTCATAGATGCATCGCTCCTCAGATTCATCAATATCATATGGAATGTAACACAGACTATTCAACATTTGAAAGAGTATTTGTAATTGCGACAAGTGAAAATAGTTAACTGAATCAGCAAAGGCGAATTATAGAATAGGCTGCCAACAGCAAAAAAATAATTTCTGAAAGCCTCTGAAATATTTCCAGGGTTCTGCTTTATTACTTTATAGTTAGTTAGGAAACATAGTCGCCGTGATTACTTGAATATTGCAACAACAGTCGTCATTAATCAGCGTTTCATTATGATTACAGTATGATAATAATGGATGATGTGAGATTCTGATTGCATTTGATATTATTTCTTTGCGCGAAAATGTTTAGGTCAATCTGACTGGGAGTGCAGGTCAGAGTTTTGGTGCTTTCCTTGCTAGAGGTGTTCACATGCACCTAGAAGGTGATGCTAACGACTACGTGGGCAAAGGTTTATCCGGTGGACACATTACAATCGTCCCACCAAAAGATTTATTAAATGAGGGGTTCAAATCTGAAGACAACTTGATCGTTGGCAATGTTTGCTTGTATGGTGCTATAGAAGGATGCCTTTTCTTAAGAGGACAAGCAGCTGAACGTTTCTGCGTACGTAATTCTGGAGCTACTGTTGTTGTAGAAGGTATGATTTTTAACTTCTGTAATCAATAAAGTGTTTTTAATAGTAACTGTCATAAATCCCATCTCATTCTAAGGCTTGTTGTTAAGCGTTCTTATCATCAAACTGGAAGTCATGAATAATTTTATGGAGCTGGAGTGGTGAAGAATACTCTTCTGTCAGTGAAGCGTTTGCTAACAGAATATGCGAACAGATTAGCACAGGCATGTAGGACATAGGAAAGTGCTTTTGATACTTTCCTGAGACTAAGAGTATGCAGTTAATGATTACACTGTTTGCTTGAAGGTTTCAACTTCCATACTTCGTTCTATGCTTTGTCGTTAACGTTCTAATTTTGAGATGGGGTGAAAAGCGAAGTTGTTCAGAAATTTCAAACAAACGTTCTACAGTTATGAAGTATGAAGTTGTATCGACTCCCTATTAGAGGACTGTGCTGAATATGCTTTGCCCATCTGAACTTTCACTTTGTAATTAATTATCAACATTATAACTAGAATCTTTTCTTCCTCATTAATTGTTTAATTCAGTTTTCCCATTAGTGTCTTACTCTTCTCACCTCTTCTATTAATTCTATGTTGTTACGTAATCACCTTTTTATTCTAAGATTCATCCTAGAAACAATTTTCGCTCCTTTTTAGTATGTTTATTAGGAATATCACACAGTGAAACAGTATCATTTACTGGATAGCTTTCGAACACACACATACTATAATGAAATTATAATCTACTACAATGCCTAAGTTTTACTCCTATATTAATTTTTGTTCCTCTTATACTGGCCTGTTGGCCATTGATGACATATTTTCTCCTTGCAACTATCAATGCCAATCTACAGCCTTTGAGAGTTATTTATCGAAAAAGAACTTTTCTTCGCTTAATTTTCTTTTGTAAAATGCTGAAGCATTGATTTGAGGTACAGTCTTCATGTCTGGTTCTCAATACAGCTATACAGAAAAATAAACTAAGTGTTGTGTTCGATTAGATGCATGCATTGCATCGAAAGTAATATCAGCAAATCAAGGAACAATGAATAAGTTAAGCAATATAGAACTGAAATTCTTTCTGGAATAATACTCATGTCTCTTATGTATCTTCTATAAAACACAGAAAAGGTTTTCAGATTTAACTAGTCCATGGCACAGCGTAGTTTATATTCCTGCGTTATTAAGTCTCACATTTTTATCCGTCGAATTCCGGAAAATTGTTCATATGATTTGGCCACTGATGTGCCTTATGTTATTAAAGGTGTTGATGTAGTCTAGACTTACTATAAGAAAAGGGGTAGAAAATTTATGTTTTCCAGAATTTTTGTCTTAAGGTAAAACAGTTTCCCTTCCTAAACTTATTTAAATTGAATACTATATTCAAATTCAGTAGGAAACTCCGTTTTGAAGATACATTCAACAATTACGTTAAATACGTTTGCATTCACTTGACTCTGAAAATAATGTCTTTGTCTCCTTACAAGAGCCTATCTGACGTGGATCATGTGTGACTTCCACTTCACTGTAAGCTTTCTGAAGAAAAACCCTACTGTAAAACAACTTCGGTACGCTCGTAAATCAGTTTGGGAGAGTTTATATCTTCTCTGAGGAAAACTCTTTTAAACAAATTATTAATAAGTGAACTTGATTTTCTCAGATTGATAAAATTAGTGGAATATCAGTGTACGTTTTGTTAAGATCAAAATGGCAAAGCAGATGACTACTAGAAAAAATTTCGTGTTCAGTTTTCAGTGAAATATAGAGATTCTGGAACATTACATGAATAACCCTTTAGTTAGCTTTCTGTCTTCGAGCACTATTCCTCCCTCATTCTTAATTTTGTCAGCTGACTACGAATGCTAATTTAATCTTTGCTTCCACTGCCAACTGTTCCGCTGTACAGGCGTTGGTGATCATGGGTGTGAATATATGACTGGTGGTCGTGCTGTTATACTTGGTCGAACTGGACGCAATTTCGCTGCTGGTATGTCAGGTGGTCTTGCCTTTGTATATGATCCACTCGGATTGAATGGAGATTTTGCACCAAAGTGTAATATGGAATTAATCGATTTGGAACTTATGGATTCTCAGAATAAATACGCTGGATGGCTTAAAGAAACATTGATGGAATTCGTTGAGAAAACTGAATCACAGGTATGAACTTAATGTAGGTTTTTGCGAATGAAATATTTACCTCTATAGAATGCATCCATATGGAATAGAGACTTATGGAACACTTATTAGACTATCAGACTATGTAGCTGAAAGAGAGACTGAAATCTTCCAGAGCAGTATACAGCGCCTTAATAATAATGGTAATAATAATAATCGCTTTATTCCAAACAACATGCGTAATATAGTACAATATTTTTAGACGACATGACTGTTGCATGTGGAGTGTTAATAATAACAACAGTATTAAAGGCAACAATGGGAAACAGGGAGTTGGTGTTACATTTGCGTCTGGTTTAGCCTGGGGAATGAATACAAAATCAAGCGTAACTTCAGCAGTGGTAGTTCATTCAGCCCGTACAGAAATCTGTAATTCGATATAGGTATCCTAGGAATAGTAATGTGCTGTATTTCTTGGGATCGATAAGTCCATTTCCGTCCGGCATAACGTTTTTGAAACAATTAGTCCCTTTTATGAATTTGGATAATGTAATTAGAAGAAGTAGACTATCTGAAAAATGTGATGTATTAGCACTATACATTTCGAACAATCTGATCACACATTTACTTGTTAAGGCATTATATAGGAAAACTGAAAGTGGGGGAAGGATATATATGACATAAAGGAATTCAATAATAAGAAAGATAATGAGAGGAGCATTACCAAGGTAAGCTTAATTTAAGGACAAACAGTTTTTGCACACACAATGGGGGGTTAAATTTATTTATGGCTAGCGCCTCAACAAACTTAAGTATTCGCCCCTGACAGTTTCTATACAAAATTGTAAAGGCTGTTTTGATATCAATCCTATGACTCTTATCAATGATATGTTTCATAATGGATGATGATGGTTGTCTGCCATCTGCGCTTATCAATGTTTGTGAATCTACCTGCTTTCGTAGTCATTTTGGAACATGTTCCCCTACCCTCAAGTGCATATCACGATTAGTCCTCACTATGTATGTTTGTCCACACACACATGTAAATTTATAAACGCAGTGGGATGTGACGCAATCGTTTATACAGCGTTGAGGTCTAGGTAGCAGCAGGTGTTTGGTCTTCTCAACTATGATAAGCTTAGATGCATAATACGTTTTGCTAACAACAGACCTTAACCTTCGTTTTAATATTATGCTATTAGATTCTCCTCTGTATGGTAACGCGATGTAAACGCATTTCTTCGAAACAGAGTACGGATCAGGTTTGAATCCTCTCTGATTTTTGCAGCGTTTTATGAACTTCAATGGATATCCATTTTCCACTAATGTTTCTGTTACTATTTTGATATCATCATCCACTGAGTCCTCCGTACAAATACGCTGGATCCTTTTAAATAGACAAGTTACCAAGCCTCGCTTGTATTGGGTTGGACAAAAGCTATGGAAACTTAAATACTGACCTGTCCAAGTAGGTTTCCTGTAGATCGACCGTTTTATTGAACCATCATTTCTACGACTTAGGAGTATATCCAAGAATGGCAGACGGTTTTCTTTTCTTCTTCACGTGTCAGGCTTATGTTCTTTTGTACGTTGTTAAGTCTTTGTAACAAACATGACGCATCTTCATGCTTATCACATATCACGATTATATCATCAACATATCTTTTATAGAGAGTAACTTTATTGATGAGATCGCCGGTTAAGCCCTCAATGACCAAAAATATAACGTTTTTTGTTGTAATCTTCTTAGCTCGAAAAACGATAGTTTGAAAACATTAAAAATCAGCGGTAGTATATGGATACGTTTAAAAGACATATTTAAAAGGTTACAACGAATTGAAAAGGAAGTATTTTTTGAATTATATTCGGTTGAAATGTTTTGGTAGCTCAAGGTTTATGCAGACAGCCAGCTTCAGAACCTGACGACATGAATGTTTCGAATATTATTAATGAAGTGGACTGAGAACCCGTCAAACCTACGTTCATTTTAAAATCAGATCAGTAAAAAGGTGAAAGTGAAACTGACATAGATAGATACCTTCTTTCTAACAGTCTTTTCCGAAACAGATACCGTGTTTACTTGCATACTCTTTACTTCGGGGACAAAAAAATAGAATTTATCGTTCTTTTTTAAACGTTATAAAATGGTGTTGAAAGTTGTCATGGTAACCCCGTAGCTTTCTCTGCATATATTTTGTTGCTTGTATTGCCAATTGGCATAATGGCGACGGTCATTTCATCAACACTGTATCACATGATTTTTGTTCATTAATTGATGTGTATTAGTTCGAAGTAAGCGAAGGTGATTAGCATATCGCCACCTCATTTGAATAACAAGCCTACAACCTTGACAGACTGGTTCTGAATATATTATGGTACATCTGTACTGAAAAAACAAAAACAAATCAAGAGTGTATAGTATAGTAGTCGGGCGGTGAGATGACAAGCGCCTACCAAGCTTAGTGTTTTGTCTAGTAAGTGTATTCGTTTATTGTGTGTTCACATGTTTCATTCATGCCCAGAATAATTTGCACAACCGTGAATTAATAAGTACATGTACTTATAAGTTGTCTGAATAAAAGATGGAATAAATAATCAGTCGAAACATGAAAAACGTCATACCAGACATTTTTCTGACTTGAAATATAGTAGTAACTTAATAGTGTTGTAGTAACTGCCATTCCTGTGGTTATGATTTAACAAACTAAGCCCTCGAATGCATTGGGATTTGAGTATTGACATTTAAGTTAAAGGAAATACAGTGTGGTGCACTTTCTCCCAGTAAAATGTTTTCTGCATGAGTTGGTTGTTATACAAGACTCCATTAAGAAATTGATACATTCAAAAAGTGTTTATAAGATGGACATAATATTCAGTGCTGTGATTTCCCCAATGAAAAGTAATTTGAATCCTGTATGCAGTCCATTGGAGTTGCATAAAAGTTACGATGTTTGCAAACCTTTATCCGCCTCATTCAACAACTATATGAAGATGCCACACGCCAAGTAATTCACAATGGGAAGCTCAGTGATGCTTTTGAAGTGAAGACAGGAGTGAAACAAGGTTGCCTACTATCCCCCATGATATTCCTGATTGTGGTGGACTGGATCATGCAGCAAACAGTAGGCAGCGAGAAGAGGGGGATACGCTGGACTGCGGAAAAGAACCTAGAAGACTTGGATTTCGCCGATGACTTATGCCTAATGTCACATAAACTTGAAGATCTGCAGGCAAAAACTAACAAGTTGACAGAGGAGGCAGCTAAGACGGGACTTCAGGTGAATATAGAGAAGACAGAAGTGATGAAGATACCGCACCACCACCATCAACAACAACAACAAACTCCAATCACCGTCAACGGTAGAAACTTGAAGGAAGTAACCTCCTTCACTTATCTAGGAAGCACTGTTTCAACTACAGGCGGGACGGACGAGGACGTCAAAGTCAGAATCGGAAAAGCAAGACAGGCTTTCATTAGCCTGAAACCAGTGTGGAGATCTACTGCACTCAGCATGTGGAACAAGATACGGATTTTCAACACCAGTGTCAAGTCGGTGCTCCTGTATGGTTCAGAGACTTGGCGCGTCACGAAAGGGATTTCCAATAAACTACAGACATTCATCAACAACTGCTTACGCTCGCTACTGAAGATCAGATGGCCAGAAAGAATAAGCAACAAGGAGCTCTGGCTGGTGACGAACCAACCAAGAACCTATCACGCAACAAATATGCAGGAAGAAGTGGAGCTGGATTGGCCATGCACTGAGAAGGCCGACTGAGGACATCACGCGCCAGGCCCTCGAGTGGAATCCTCATGGGAAGCGACGAGTCCAAGGGTGGACGTCCAAGGGTGACATGGAGGAGGTCGTGCGAGGAGGAAATGAGAGGTTGTGGGCTGTCGTGGGACCAGGTTCAAAAGATCTCAGAGAACAGAGGTCACTGGAGGCGTGCTACTGAAGCCCTATGTTCCACTAGGAACCCAAGGGACTAATAATAATAATATAATAAACTGTGAATTACATTTCTGCCTGATATAATCATCATAATTACTTAGATGACTGTGAGGCAACTCATATAGACTTACTCCTGTACATTGTTTTAAATCTGTTAACTTCTCCAGAAAAAATAGCTGAGTTATTGGATGCATTCATGATTGGCGAAAGTAAATCCAATTAATTACAAAGCTAAACATTTAACTATGTATTTATATTTCTGTTTCAGTCAAGCATTTTCTGCGTAAATATGCTGGAAAGTATTCAGCATTTTTTCACAGTCTGGTATCAGCTCTTCAGTTCTCTTCTGGTTCAATAATCACTAGGTAGTTTTAAAAAGAATAGAAAAATCTAAAATGGATTGTTTCACTTCATAATTTGGAGTTGAAGTGAATTATATCGTGTTATGTAGAGGCGGTTGGTCAGCTAACGATTCGGTTGACTTCTGGATTATGAGACAACTTGGTTTTTCATGCGTATGGTTTTTAATTGCATCATCCTAAAATTTCGTGCTGACCAAATACCAAAGAGGATAGTATCTAAAATTGTCAAAGCGAATGTGTCATGGTGTGCTGCTAATTTTTTGACCGTCAGGTTACATACGTTGAAAAATTCAAGCTGCAATAAATTTGTTGTCCACTTGATTCTTATTTTTATTTTTATGCATGCAACCTGTAAAACGGCCGTTAAAGGAGTATGGAGAAAAAACTGGATAGAAAGAAAATTCCAGTCAAAATAGACTAGCGTCTTCAATGCTGTCCCATTGGTCACTGAAGTTACTATGAGTGGATACATTTCAGTATTGTATCATTGCAGCATACTTTGTATTGCTTCTAAAGTGATTCTCTTCCCAATTAGTAAGCAGTTTTATGAAACCGGCTTGTGACTTGCAAATAATCGGCCATTATTGTTAACAAACATAGAAATCCACTGCTGATATTTATGCTTGGAAAGGAGGGTGAGATATACAGAGCCTTTGGACAAGTAATATTTATGCCAGCTAACCAACTTGAAACCCAACTGTAGCCTCCCACCGCTTCCAGTAAACAACAAAAACCAACTCATCATCTGCTTTTTTATTGTTTATTGTTACTTACTGACTACTGACATCCAAAACTTCATATAATTTCTTACACCTTTGCAGGTTGGATCAAAGATTCTGGCCAATTGGGATGAATCAATTGAACATTTTATACTTGTATTTCCACGTGATTATAGAAAAGCTTTGGCTAAACTTGAAGTTTCTTCTCTTACTACCGTTGAATCGAACGTACAACAGACTAATACACTAACGAATGCTGCTGAAAATGGAAAAGATAGTGGTCACTATGTGAGTTTAGCTTATATATACATATTCTGCGATGATATTTGTAACCCTTCTTTATATTACATTTTAAGTACACCAGATATGATTAAGCAAGAAGGTCATGCTTTGGTATTGCAGAAGCTAACGAAGTATAGAGTTTACACGGAAATTTCTACTTATAGCGATGGGAATTAAATGTAGTCAACAATTTTTATTATCCACATCAGCCTGTCTTGTTTATGTATTCTTCTCGTCACATATTCCCCAATAATTCTCACTAATTTCTAAGACAGTTTCAATGCTAACTTCATGAATTTACTAGTTATTCCTTTGTTCCATTAATTAAATACTAAAATTGTCTAGTTGTCAGGTTCATCTTAACTGTGAGCTTCTAACTGCATTGGATGATGATGCGGCGTATCATCAACTATTCTCGAAAATTAATTATTATAGATATGTTAGCACTCATAAATGAAAACCAAACTCCGGTGTAATGACGAAGAATAGATTTCTGTTCTGTTGATCATACACCCAATGTTTAAAAGTTAGACAACTGTCCATTGTCTTTGCTTTCAGCATAGATTTCTTAATCTGGATCACAGGTTGATTTTAATCAAAAGAAAGACTGAGAATCATAAAAGAAAAAGTTCTGATAACAAATAGGAGGTTACCGAACTATTTTTGCACGCCATCATTGGTATGAGTTGAAAATTGAGACCTCATTATGCAAACATAGTCACAAAGCCTAGCAACAAGTTGATTATTCCCAAATAACAGAATTTTAATGGTGGTAAACTGCTCCTCATGATGACAGGTTCGTTGAAAAATAGTCTTGTCCTTTGCTAGAAGTGAACTTTGAAGATTGCTATAAAAATATTTTAAACATTCTAAGCTTACTTTTATGTGTGTCTAGAGACTGACTATTCACTGTTATAATACACTGGTTTTCAAATTTCATTTCAAAACATAATTTGCATGAAGTACTGGTGGAGTGGCAACCTAAGAACTTTAGGAAATCAGTTTAATTTGTTCATTAATGACGTGCCTTTTCAGCAGTTAACATTTCCACTGAAGTGTATACCATAAATTTGAAGGTTAGTTCTCCTACAGAATGTGAATACGTTTTTCTGATAATCACTTTCTTTTTGTTTCTTAAAACAGTCGTTAAATAAAGTGGATTAAAACAGTTTATGTTCTTGCATAAGAAAACAATTATTGGTCATTTTTTTTCTTTTTACTAGTGAGAAAAATAAATACTAGTATGCTTTTTACCGGGAAACAAGAAAACTCTTTTTGTTAGATTAAACCGAAAATTAAATTTTAACCCCAATGTAGTACTCTTAAAATCGACTCCAATCACTTTTTAAGGCAAGTAGCGTAGTCACTTGATAGACTATAGATATGAATTATGAATTAAGTGAGTGAACTTGGACGTTATTGCTTGACTGTATTATCATCTATTACACTTTATCTACTAATTATTCATCTTAGTCTTGTATGAACATTAAGTGTAGAAATTTTTCTTACTTTGATTGAATCTGTGATCTCTTATTTTCTGTTACAATTAACAAACACAGACCAAAGATATTGAAGATGTGGTTGGTGATGAGCCTGCCGAGAAATTGGACAAAGTACGCGGTTTCGTAAAGTATGCCAGACAAAAACAAAATTATCGTCCAGTTGAAGAACGCATAAATGATTGGGAGGAAGTTTATGCACAAAAGGAAATACGTAAAGGCTTGGTGAAACAAGCTGCTCGTTGCATGGACTGTGGTGTACCATTCTGTCAGTCATACGTTGGGTGTCCTCTTGGCAATCTTATTCCAAACTGGAATGATTTAGTGTTCAGGGTTTGTTTTGTGATTCTCCATAGTACCAATGCTAGTTTATTTCTCTTTTTATTTTTCTCAAGATTGAAAGTTAAAGGCTGTTAAAATTTTAATATAGCAGAGTATTCTCCTCCTAAATGTATTTAGGCTCCACATAAAGCTATATCAGACTCTGTTGATTGCTTTCGTTATGCGGAATACGATCTAGTAAGTTCAGAAAAGCCAAAATTACAAGTCTGATATAAGCTTATACGCTTACACGTCTGAATTCACAAAAAGGTGCTAGTTTTCATCAAAATTAGTCCTATTTTTATAAGCAATTTATTCAAACGCTTAAGCTCCATGCATAGTAATATGGCTGCTCATCGATTCTAATTTGTTTATTACCATACTACTATGACACCATATGTATTGCGTGTTATTGCTTTACACCTTATATTATAGACCTTGGTCGACAAATGCTTCAGTGTACCATGCTGAATAATCATTCTCTCAGTTCCCATTTTTTTGTAAACTCCGTGAGTAATGATGTTTACTTCAAGCATAGTGGTTTAACAACCATATGCAACAAATATCTGAGCATCTTTATATCTCAAATGACTATGAAGAAAATAATTAGGAAAAACCTAAACTCAATGTCTTCCAAATATCATTGTTGGTCTGCACGCTGCTGGATACGGCATTATCTATACGTAGTGATGTTCAGCAAAACTGTGGATGAATCGACTATACTAATGCTCATAAAAGCTATGAAACTGTTGAATTCTATGACAATGTTTTCACTGAAGCCTGTATGAATTATGTTGTTGAAGTGGTCCCCAGTAGGTGAGATAGGCTATTGTAGATTAGTTTGTAAATATAAACCATAAATGACCTTAAGTTTCAGCTAGCTGGTTGCTTCCCAAAAACTCTACCATACATCGCGATACGGACTTAGACTTACCAACTGGTAGCTTTGTCACTGGGCGTGTCATCTAGGCAGAAGAATACGTTTACACGAGGATTTTGAGATAAACATGTATTAAAATAGTTTGCATGTTTGTGTTCAATCTCACTTATTATTGGTTTAGTCCTTGTCTTTTAGAGTTCTATCTGAATTCTAAAGTTACTTATTGTATAATTTATCTCGTATAAATGCAATTATTATTCTAGTTGAAAAATTAAAGAAATGTTTCCACTAGTGCTGATTTCACAAAAGAGAAGTAGTTAGAGGAAGGGACTTGTACTGATTAAAATCACATTAGTACTGAGAATACCAGCTGCATACATAAAAAAAAAGATTTACGTATCTCTGTAACAACTTTTCTGTTGTACTACTGTAGCTTAGACAATCAAATTTATTGCTTACATTAGATGAATTAGGGTTGCTTTGTTATGCATATGAGTAATAAAAACGTGGTAACTTGGTACGGCGCTGTTTCCTAGTTAGCAGTGCTCATTCAAGATCAGTCATCTCAGAGGTATAATCTGTGATTGTAACCATGAACTTTAGGAGTATTAGAACTCATACGTTTACTTGATTTTATTAATCGTTATCCTTGTAGTTCAAAACATTTTTTAACCGTTTTTACCAACAGGTTCCAAATTACCACAAAACTACTCAACTAAAACTTATACAAAGTGTTTTGTTTTTGCGCCATTTTATTTTGGTATAGGGTGATTGGCACGCTGCTCACATCGCTTTAACACAAACCAACAACTTCCCTGAATTTACGGGTCGTGTATGTCCAGCTCCCTGTGAAGGTGCATGTGTCTTAGGCATAAACGCTGATCCGGTTACCATAAAGCATATTGAATGTACTATTGCTGATTCTGCCTGGGAAAATGGATGGCTACATCCTATTCCTGATGAGAATCGAATACCGACTGGGAAACGTGTTGCAGTTATTGGTAGTGGACCATCAGGTTTGGCCTGTGCAGATCAACTCAACAAGGTAAGTATTGTAAAAGCCATATCATTAGATTCTAAAGTCGTAAATAGACATTTTCCGTAATTTAAAATTATGCACCTTTTTATTTCCAGAAGGAAATTTCACTGCTATATGCATGAATAAAAACCACAAAATGAACATTTGTTTTTTCCAACTTAAACACTTTTTAAGATTACACATTCAATAAATCCATGATGAGTGTTTCCCGAGTACACATACATTGTCCTAATTCATTCTTTAAAGAACTCTAATTCAGTATTGATACCGTGTGATGATCGAAGGTGAAATGAGAATATGGGCAGCAGGAGGTTTCAAACCAGAGGTCACTGGTCTGATTCTCATTCTACCTTCAATCATCACGCAATATCAATAAGGGTCTGCCAAACCACGGCCATCTCAGATAATCAAACCAATAATCATAAATTGGGGAAGTATGAAAGAACACATACAAAAGAAATATTTAACTTAGATATGCCGAACTCTCTTAGGTGTTTTCATATTTTATTCATAGGGTTAACTTAAAAAGTGATTTCGTGACACTCATGGATATTCAATAATAAATGTATACGCTTTATTCGCGATATTGCTCAGATATATTGCTGGAGAGCTTACCCAGAAAATTCAATATCTTGAAACTAACAACTTGAAAAATATAACCATTCATCTACTCTCACTTACAGGTTGGACATGATGTTACAGTGATTGAGCGCAGAAATCTTCCAGGTGGTTTATTACGTTATGGTATTCCAACTATGAAACTTTCTCGAGAAGTTCTAGATCGTCGATTAAACTTGATGAAGGCTAGTGGCATTAAGTTTGAGGTTAACACACGTGTTGGTCATGATGGTCAATCTCCAGAACCAAGAGACCTAAATTCTATCTGCCGTCCCCACTCAGAAGAAGAGAATGTTTGGCCAGCTTCAAAACTACTCAATGAATTCGATGCTATAGTTTTATGCCTGGGTGCAACTTGGCCTCGTGATATAAACATTCCAGGTAATGAATCTTTGAATTACTTTCAGTGAAGTGGTATTTTTAGGTACTCTTGGCATACATTGAAAAATAGAGTGAAATAGGAGTAAACAGGCTCCTTTTTGGCAGTGACATGTCTAAGCAAATGCTATACTAACGAAATACAACATTTACGAATGATGATCATACGACAGGTGTACTGATGCTTATCACCGAACACTGGACTGTTACTTACAACTGTAACAGCTCTAGATCATTACAGAAATATACATTTAGTCAGATTAGATCTACAACTAAAAGTCATAGGATGAAGTCGGAGATTTAACGGTCAGCTGTAGTCATAAAATAAGCACCTTCACATTTTTGATTACTGAAATGGTCAGCAAACGGGCAAAATAAACCAATGTACAACCTTGAATAGAATTAGATCAGTTCAAGTTACAGCATTTCAAAATATCATACAGAAAAGAGGATGATAAAAGGATGATATTGAAGTGCACAGAAATGTCTGAAAGCATAAGAAAGAAGTAAATGAATGAAGGTTAGTGAAAGTGTTCAGGATTCTGACAGTGACAAAAGTCTGAAAATCTGCGCTCCTGTAACTCGACATTCACTTGTCTGCTGCAATGAACATAAGGTATTTCGGTGCAACAGTTTTGACAGGATATTCTAAAAGCAAATAAAAAGTTAAAATTATTGACTGACAACCTATGAAGAAAAAACATAGGTGTGTTTTCCACCTTTCCTGTTGTGACGAAAATGATAGGTTATTAGTGTTTTTTTCTATTTTTCACCAACTCCTACTCTAAAGTGGAAGTATGTGGCCTTCGTTTAATGAAAACTTGACGATAAATTCTTAAACAGTAAACAGTTTGGATCAGAATGAGAACTAAATTCCCTTGCAGAAGACTGAGATTTGTTGCCATTGGCGTTTAGTTAATGCATACGTTATCTTGGAGATAGCGTGTTCAGTAATCAAGTAGGATATGGAAAACTTTATTGTTTTTGTCTTTCAAAATATGCTTTGTTTAAAAGCTTAACTTCAGAACACTACTCAAGAATAAACTAACTTAATTGCAATAAAATTGGGGAATCTCATGAGTACGTAACAAATAAGCAAAGTTATTGCTGACCTATGTACAAAATCTTTCAGTGTTTCAGCTGTAAAACCATAGCAAACAGTGCAGGAGATACAACCAAACTTTATGACTGATGTTTATTGTCTTCAACTGCGTAACCATGAATGTAGTTCTGAATTTTTTCACTAACTATGGTAGCAGTACTTTTGGAATTGGGGTGGAATTATAGGTTATAATTATGAAGACTTTTTCACAGAGAAATAACATTATAAAAGTGGCAAACAAATGACTTTCTAATGTTCACTTATAAACTGCTCGAAAAAGTCTCTTTTCAGAAATTGATACACACCAATTACTCAACCCCGACCAGTGGCCCCATCAGTCACACGTATGTCATGACAGCTACCAAATATTTGATACGACTATCAAAGACATTAGTGGTTTGTACCATAAAGGAGTTTGTAAAACCAGGAGTATTTTACCGTCCATTACATTCGATCTGTTTACTGGTTTAAAACTCACTCTACAGAAGCCAGGCTCCATGTATCCTAATATCTGTATGCATATAAACACAATGAAGCGCGTATTACAAAGATGAGAAATGAAGTTTCCGTGTTCTTTTTTATGTACCTAAATATTGAAAAAGGTTGTTATCCATAAACGAAGCAAATAAATAACATTCTTTCACAAGTTTTATTTGGATATGATATATATGTTTTGTAAACGTTGTCACTTGATAATAAACTAGTGGGTTATAAACTGAAGTAAGAAAATAATTATAATATGAGACGTTTTTTTTCCGGGACTCAAAGAAAGTTAGATGTGGGATTCAGTTAAATATATTCTCATCAACTCTTATATTCTTTCTCGACATAAGTTACTTTGTTGAATCATTTTACCAATAGTTTTATAAGTTTCCCTTCCATCCTTTTATTATTGTCACACCCAACTGGATTCGTCATTTAGATGCATAAATGCATGTGTTTTACATTTAAAAAGAGAGACTTTTAGTAAAAGTGTTACCAATAACTTGTATTTCGCTCATTTTCGTGGGAAATTAAAGAGATGGCAGCTGTTCAGGCATGTGTGAAGTCGAGTCCGCACGATGACGTTGCAGTTAAACTTGCTGTGAAAGTTCAAAAGTTTATTTGCGACTATAAAACTTTTCTATTACATGGATGAAGCATCCTTATTCGTTTGTGAGGGTTAAAAGCAAGCGATCATAGGATAACACACAATCTAAGAAGCGAATGAGTCTTCACTATGACTGAGAGAACATGACTAAAGGCTGTTCCACAAAGTCATTGTGAGATCTTAAACTTTTCTCAGTTTCAGTGCCTGGCAACTTCCTGTTTCCTTCAAAACGCCAATAGATATCATTCAGATGAAAGGAAATGATTTCAGTTCTACTGCGGTACCTGTCATTAGTCAACTAAACTGGTTACACGATAAATCGAATCCGGAGAACTATTTCCATGTCCACTAGATACCGTTCTATGTGTAACTTACACATTTTATTCGCCAGTCACGTTAGTTGTGACTTTGTGTAATAGGTAAACTTATGAATGAATCGAATTTACATCAAACAAAATCATTAGCTGAAGCTGAATTGAACTGTTAAAGTTGAATTAAACTGTTTTGAACACTTTGATGTCAACTAAGATTGCACAATTGGTCAATGATCGTGGCAGCTCTACTGTCATCCACACTAATCATCTAAATACCTGCCCAAAATGTCAGACACAGTGCGCAGATTTATCCAGTTATTTAGTTTTGTTAAAAAGTTGTAGTTACTGTTAAAACAATAACAATAGTGGATAACGCCTTCGCGTTTGAGGCGATGGGTGCGAGGTTAGAGCCTCAGCGGGAACAACATCACTCACTGGGGTGCTGGTACATCTAGCTGACGAGTCCCAGACAGGACGAAACGCACGTCCTGGATTCTTCTGTTAGCCACAACCAACCATCTTGTCTAGTCGTACATATACTGAGGTTAAACGAATAGCCTGATAAAATTTTTCTGGAAACCTCTGGTTTTCATTACAAAAAAAGGATTTTATAAAAGTATGTCACTCCAAAGCTATCAAATATAACCTTATGACAATATTGTTCTATTCTTATTTATTTACTTTCACAAGGTCGTCACCTCGAGGGTATTCATTTTGCCATGAGTTTCCTTGAACGTTGGCAACGTCTTCAACACACGAAGAAGATTAAGAAGACATATATTGACCTTCAGAATAATGATGATATTGATTGTGATTCTGTGGCTGCTTTAGCCAAAGGCAAACGTGTGGTTGTACTTGGTGGAGGAGATACCGGTGTTGACTGTATTGCTACATCCGTGCGTCAAGTAAGTTAGCTTTACAATGACATCATATTCTTTTTACTAAACAGATGAAGATTATGAGTATATTTCCACCTGTTGCCAGGTACAAACATTTCAGTGACATCTTAATCATTCATTTTCAGAGTATTTAAAAAAATGAAAGACGATGGACTTTGTTAACAAGGTCAATCATTCTGTAAGTTATTGAATACCTCAGCTGAAATGGTTAGTTCAGTGGCTTTGAAGAAGGCGATGATACACGTCTCCTACAAACATTTATTGAACTAGTGACATAAAATTTCATTTGTCTTGAAGGTAATGGGATGTTTATTTCCTTCTAATTACTAGTGTGATTGTCACTTAAACAAGTTTCTAAAAGCATACTGAAAATCCCACAACCAATAAGAGCTGCATGAGAGTAACTGGTAGGATGCTGGGTAATGTATTTGAAAAACAGTACCCATTAAGCACTAGTTACTTCACCTAAAGCAGTATTTTATTTGATTTGAAAATAACAAATTCTGAATTCAACAAAAGGAAGCTTCGAGGAAATGAATATCGCAGTGTCACAAGAAGTTTGAAAAAGATTTTCCAACACTCTCTATCGACTTTCTGCTAAGATCTCCAAAGAATTACTTTTCATCCTTTCCTTATTTTTACATATCAGTGATAAGAAGTGTTGTTTAAGTTAAATCCCATACATATATACTATGATATGCACTCAGTCGTTCTTACGTTTTTGCAATACTATCTTGTAGGGAGCTGAACACATACGTGTGTTCGAGATTCTTCCACCACCTCCACCCAATCGCGATGTGAACGAAAATCCATGGCCTGAATGGCCTCGTATATGGAGAGTAGATTATGGACATGCAGAAGTGGCTGTTCGTATAAACGGTGATCCAAGACAATTTAATACAATCACTAAAGAGTTTCTTGATAATGGTAATGGATCAGTAGGTGGAATCCGTACAGCCAAAGTCCAATGGACTAAATCAGATACTGGTAGATGGATAATGAATGAAATACCAGGTAACTATTTGATCTTTACATTGCATAATAACTTAAAACATTGTGTTTGACTAAACCCTAACTTGTGCCACTTTTATACTTTTATTTTTCTGAACTGGTTAGCTGAGGAATCTTCCTTCTTCAGTCCCTGTAAAATTACCCTGAAGATAATCCCGACTGACAGGTCAGTAAAACTCCAACTGGTAATCACCTTTGATAAGAATACATCATTAGAATTCTGTCAGCTGCTTAACAGCTAACTTTCAGGATATTCATTATGCCCAATCAAGTTGTAATAACCATCTCATGTGCCATATCAACTACAATGTAGATCTTCCACAGTTCATGGAAGAAACACATGTAATACATTTGACCACATATAAGAAAGAACAGAAATTTACTTCATTTGTAGTATATCAAGGTAAACGTATCTATACTGAAATAACAAAAACGATCTATGTGCACCAGACAGAAAAAAAGTAATGACTCACGATGAAAGAAAACCATGGTTAATGTGGAATTCCAACTAACTTGGTCTATTGGCTCAACATCAGTCACGAACTCCGCATATATGAACATCGCTGAGTTAAATAAGTCTGTTTCCGATAGTCTAGCCATCAGATATGACTATTGCTTATATCAGTTCTTGAACCCAGATGCAAAAAGTAGATCTGTTGAACTAATGTTTGTCCACAGCATGAATTGTGTTAGATTCAAACCTAGTTCTTTGAGGACCAACTATGGTATCGTAATTATACTAAGACGTTTTGGTAAACAGCCAGTTATAGTTGAACCATTTGAAATTTGAACTTTTCATGGAGTATCTTCACTAGCTAAGTTATCGTACTTACTAAATGCCTGGCACAGTATTTTTCCTGTAACTACCTTTTAATCACGCTTATAAAAGTTCCAAATAATAGTGCAAGCAGAAACGCAGACCGTATTTTGTGAAATTGGAGTTTTAGAAACCCCATGAACCAAAGGACCAACAAAGTAGGTCAAAAAGCTGACAAAGTAGATCAACAGTATACTTTATGTTGTATTTGGCTGGTGCTAGGTGGCGATCTTGTCATTCATGTAAGTTATATTAGGTCCCAGAGACAATTTCCTTCGAAAATCTCTCTTCTAGTTGAGAAAGATGATATTGACACAGGTTTTCAGTTATTCATGAGATTTTGGGATTGTAATTCAATGGAGACACTGATTAATTGTAAAGTGCTTACACAAAAACTGTATTACCTTTCTTTTGTCTTTTCATACTAGGCTCTGAAGAAACATTCGAATGCGATCTAGTTCTGTTAGCAATGGGATTTTTAGGACCGGAAACGCAGCTCATCAAAGAGCTGGAACTGAATATGACTACCCAGTCAGTGATTCAAGTCGTACCTGATCGACCATATACAACAAACATTCCAAAAGTATACGCGGCTGGAGGTGAGTGTTTCTTCTTATCTTTCTGTTTATTTATCCATTTTTCAACGAAATGAGTAATGGGAATCATTTTACATGCTTCTACAGCAATTTAGAGTAATAAGAAAAATCCTGGTCATCTGAGAGGAACGTTGGGCATAGGGCTAGCAACCGTACCCCATAAAACCAATCTAACCGCTAAAGAAACTTCAAAGTACAAAGAAAATTTAAAAATGAAAATAAAATTATTCATCGCTGGAATCGGAGAGACGAGATGACGCCAGTTGGTGAAAGCCAGCGGGAAGCCAATTACCCGATGTGTCTTCTCTCTCTCGATGAAAGCGAAATAAACACGGGGGCATGGGACATCCGCACCATGTATGAACCTAGCAAAGCTGCTCAGATTGCCAAAGAGATGAGAGGGTATGGCATAGAAATGCTAGGAATCTACGAAAGCAGATGTAACGGAAGTAGACTACCCAAACTGCCAACTGGACGGTCAATAACCTACTCCGATATTGTCACCCAGACGATAACCACGAGCACAGCACACTGAGTTTTCAAGTGGCTGGCATGATGTCCCCAACAGCATCGAAGGCTTTCATACAGTGGGAACCAATCTCCTCCAGCATCAGGATCATAACAACAAGATCCAACTCAAAAGGAAGGAAGATCACAATTCTACAATGCTACGCACCTACAACAAATGCAGATCAAGAGAAGAAGGAGGAATTCTACAAACAACTGCAATCAGTACTGGACAAGACCACAGACCAGTTGGTGACATCGAAATTCTAATGGATGACGTGAATGCCAAACTGGGAACAGACAACACAGGAAGAGAAGTAATCATGGGTCGAGAAGTACTTGGTGAAATGAACGAGAATGGAGAACTGTTTGTAGGCTTCTATGCATTCAACGACTTGGTGATTGGAGGCAGAGAGTACAAGCACAAGGATATACACAAAGCGACATGGATTTCACCAGACACCAGGACACACTAAAAATCAGACAGGCTTCATCCCAATGTGAAGGAAGTGGAGATGCAGCCTACTGGACACAAGGTCAAGAAGAGGAGCAGATGTAGGTTCAGACCACTATCTAGTGCAAGGAACCTTCCAAACCAAGTTGAAAGCCTTCAGAGTAGTTGATGATAGATCACGAGCAAGTTCAGCACCCAGGACAGAAAATGAAGTACGAAACTACAAAGGACGTCTTCACGTCAGCTATCAGGAAAAACTGGGAGACATTCAGCAATGTTCCCAAGGAAACCTGCGTGGAAGAACACTGGAACTCCTTGAAAGAGATGTGGAATAAAACTTGCATAACCGTGTTCGGAAGGGAGAGGAAACAAGACAAGGAATGGATCTACATGGATATATGGAAGCTGATAGGGGAGAGGAAGATGGTGAAACAGAAGTTGAAGCAGTGGAGTGTAGGGATGAACAACGAAAAGAGGAACTGAGTACAACTTATAAAACACTACTCTGGAAGAAGAAGCGAAGAAGAGTGCGCGCAAAGACGAAAAACAATTCTACGGCACACTTGCAAGTGAGGCAGAACAGGCTGCAGGTAGGAGAGACCTGACAACATTATATCAAATAACCACGTTACTATCTGGCAGGGGAGAGATCAACACAGATGAAACCAATGAAATATTGTGAAGAAAACCTAGTTATCACTACCTGCCACACGTCCAGAAATACCACCAGCAGCCGCAGAACTACCAGTGAACACAAGCCCTCCAACAAAGACAGAAGTGTAGTCCTGAACTCTATAAAGTTACTGAAATCCGAGAAAGCAGCAGGACCAGATGGAATTCCTTCAGAAGCATTGAAATAAGACGCAGAGACATCAGCAGTGGACACGCTCATATCACTGTTGCACGAAGTTTGGAAGTAAAGGAAAGTACCTGGCGATTGGAAGAAGGGCTATCTTATACAAGAAACTGTCAGGAGCGAGAAGACGGGTATACGCTGGCTGGACCGAAGAAAAGACCCCAGAAGAAGATGACGACTTATGTCTACTGACTAATGTCGCCCAAACTCGAAGGTCTCCAGGCAAAAACCAACAAGTTGGCAGAAGAGAAGAGGCAGCGGAAACGGGACTTCATGTGAATGTAGAGAAGATAGAGGTGATGAAGATACCCAACCAACAACAACAAACTCCAATCACCATGAGCTGGAGAAACCTGAAGCAAGTAGTCTCTTTCACCTACCCATCTACCTAGGCAGCATGGTTTCAACTACAGGTGGCGGCACAGACGAAGACATCAAAGACATCCTGGATCAGAAAAATGGCAAGACAAGCGTTCATTAACCTGAAATCAGTGTGGAGATCTACTGCACTGCACTTCACTCAGCATCGATGACAAGATCCGGATTTTCAAAACTAACTCAGTCAATTCAGTGCTTCCATGTGATGGTTGAGAGACTTAGCGCTTTGCGAAAAGCGTCTCCAACAAACTACAGACATTCATCAACAACTGCCTATGCTCACTCGTTACTGAATATCAAATGGCCAGAATAATAGGAATAAGCTGCAGGGAACTCTGGCTGGCTGGGAACGAACCAAGCAAGAACTCATCGCCCAATAAATGTACAGAAGAAAGTGGAGATGGATTGGGCATACACTGAGAAGACCGTTTATGGACATCAGGCGCCAGACTAGGTCCTTGAGTGGGACCTACATGGGAGACGACGAGATGGGGGTCCCAGATGGAGGTGACATGGAGGAGGTCACGTGAGGAAGAAATGAAAGGTTATGGGTAGTCGTGGAGCCAGGTTGAAAAGACTGCAGAGAGTAGAGTGAGATGGCGACGTGCTACTGAAGCCCTATGTTCCACTAGGAACACAAGGGACAAATAATAATTGTGATAACAATATTATAATACCTTCTAAGCTGAAAGATTTCCCCTTCTATCGGGTGGAAATTAAGTGCCTTGGCAAATAAACCAAAGTTCACTCACAGATTTTATCACCTGAAATAAATTTAACTTTTTGTTGTATACCCTACTGACTGGCAGACAGACAGACGGAATCAACACGAACCTCAAACATAGTTGCATCGCCTCGGTTAACCACACTTCACATCAGTACACAAAGAACAGGTGGATAGAATAAGAGTGATATCAAAGTAGACAAAGTCGTGTGAGAGAACAAATAATTTGAAGATAATAGTGCAAATGTTCAAGCTTTAGATATCATTGACTGCTACTGCGTCTTAGTCTGGCCACCGTGAACCCTCTTCCAACCTAATCTAACTTACTATAGAATGTAAGGTCAAGGTAGACGGTGGCTTGGCATGTGCAGTACATGTCCAAGCCATCTCATCCCAGTCGATGAAGGCAAACTATCTCATCGATCGACTTACCAGTCTTGCCTAGTACCCTTCATCTGACCTCAACAGTGCTCACACGGTGACTCCACCAAGCCAGATCACTGTTACGAAGACTCCTATGATCAAAACCCAGTAATGGCTTCATTTCTTCTACTTTAAAGGATATAACTCACAGCCGCACGACAGGATAGAACAAACTGCAACACAGTATACTCGTCCTTTGATAGATAGTCGGATACCTCTCTAGTCGGCTCCATGGATGACGCAAGTTGGCAAATGCCCAACGCACCTTCTGTACACTACCTGAGATTTCAACAGTAACCAGCATGTTCGGGCTGATGCAATTTCCCAGTAAGTGAAATGGTCAACACATTCCACCACTCCACTCCCTATCATTAAACTGGAGGTCTTTGCAGACCGGCAGTTTAGCATCATCGTGCATTTGATAGGTGCGAAACGTGTTTCAATCATACTCAGATTTCCGCTCAAGGCGTTCAGAAAACCCTGTGTTTTGTCAGCATCTTCACCTAGCAGGACAGTATTGTCTGCATACTCCAAGTCGACCAGATGACCCCCAGGGATAAGATCAATCCCTGCAAAGTCAGACGTACTTAAGGTTACGTCTATTAGCACGTCTATGACGAAGTTAAATAGGAACAGTGACAGTAGGCATCTCTGGTGGATACCACTAACTGTCGTCAATTCTGATGACAACCGTCCATAAGCACTTACACGGCTGCGTGAGTTTGAGTAGGCGTCGGATACCTATGTATCCAAGAATCTTAACACACTACTAGTCAAATTAATTCCCCTTTGCTTATCACAGGAAGATTTCTCCCCCTACTTATAAACTGGGATGATCAGCGAAGTATGCCAGTTTGATGGCATTACCTCTGATTCCCATTCACAATGCACCTCCATCACTTTAATTAACGATTTCCTACCTACATCCTTGAAAAATTCAGGTCGAAAACTGTCAGGTCCGACTGCTTTGCATCGTTTCAGGTTCGATACAGCTTTTTCAACTTTCAGGCGAGTTGCAGGACCGACATTTACGTCCCATTCAGGTCCACTATGGCTGAATGCTGGGTAACTGAAGCATTGATGAGAGCCAGTTGAACCATGTTTCAAATTATTCTGCCTAACGTTCTAGCCACCTTTCTTTGGAGATTATCAGTGTTCTTCCCTTTTTGGTGGTGGTTCCACTCGCCATCGTCTTTTTCTTGCCGATATCTTTTAGAAACCGAAATAGTCACCGAGTGTTACTAACTACTGACGCATTTTCCATCTCTTCTGCTTTTGCCACCCACCACTGCTTGAGATCGATGCAAAGACTCTTGCTCAACTTACGTTTAAGTTGCTTTAGTTTTTCATTGTGGTCATATCCTGGTGGAATCAGTCTTTTCGCATGAATCAGTGACAGTATCGGAGAATTTGTCTTTTCAGATCACTGTTGTCTATATATTAGTAGATATAGTTTCTCCTGTTCTTAGCAGTTTGAATTGCACAATCCTGATGTGCGTTCTGTATCTGTTTTCTGAGCCAAAAGAATGACAGTATAATGCTGACTTTTCTAAATTAAAATAGACACTGACAACAGATAAAGTAGGAAAACTCATGAGATGAACCATATTACATCATTTCTTGTGGGTACTAGGAGAAGATACCCCCATACAGATTCGCTTGTACCTCATCTGCTGCTAGAGAAAATTACATCACGGGAAAGATATGTATCCTCTGAATCACTTCTTTTAGAGACCACTTTGGTAAATCATTCTTGTCGAAGCATAGAGAACAAACTCACGAAAAGGCGAAGTAGTTCGATGAGATCGCGTTTGTTCTCAACTCTTACTGTCTTTGAAAACTGACTGTAAATCCGTGAATGATATCGGGCATGCCGTATATTCCCTTCAGGTAAATCACTCGACCATCTCTTTCATGTGCAGTGTCTCAGGGAAAGCTCTATTTCAAAGTAGGGTATAATGAACACTTATCGGTGCAAAATGATTTTTCGTATACAAGGTCTTTGTTCATAACATTTTGATGTTTTGGTTAGGCCTCATGGAAACTACATTTTCCTACAGAATATCCCATTTATTGTTTGTTCATCATTGTTCAATGAAACTATATTTTTCTCAATAATAATATAAAATATTCAGCTGGTAGTTTGCAGCATTAAACTTTTCCGAGTTAAATAGGATTCTAAAGCCTGTTCACTTTCGTGTAGTATTTGCATCCCTATAATGTCTCACCTGTAACTAGTAATTGAACTGAGGAAATTGTTGATTTTTACTGAGATACGAATATAACCCGATTTTCAGTAAGCAATATTCTGTTGAATCGATAAGACTACAGTCTTTGTTGCGATCCACTGATTGGATCTCAGCGAGAAATTTATAATAAACTCTGGAACCTGAGTCTTACGGAATACAACAAGCATCCAAATTCCCAGTTTATTTTTATCAAAATGGGAAAAATCTACATATATATTTAAATGACTCGTGTCACAAGATCCAGAAACAAAGTCAAAGGACTAATTAATCAAAATAATTTTTTAATTTTTAGTTGAACAAATTACTTCCTGCCAAAAATCGGGACAATCAGTATTCAATCATAAAATTGAAGTGATTAACTTGTAGGATATATGTATCGAAAATCTACAAAAGTTATGCTTCCGTTTTAGTTCAAAAGAATTGCTGTTACAGCAGCACAAGTACTCAGTTATGAAATGAATATGAAGCAGAACAGAGAAGTTTTCGTAGCATTCTGTACAGAAAATATTCCCTGACTAAATTTAAAAGTATACTTCAGATATTGGCATCTTCTGAATCTATCCCAGACTAGATTGATACTGTTCACTTAAGAATATTAGTGCACTGAGCCAAAACCTTTATCGAGCAATAAAAAATGAAGTCATATACAAGCTGGGGAAAATGCACTAATGCATACTTTAGAACGACAATCTGAATGCCTCACTGAGAAGCACAACAATGTTTGAGCGAAATATCTCTGTTATATTTCATAACTTCTGTTTGTCTAGAGCAAATTGTTAACAGAAGTGAGGGGTTTACAGATACTCATGTCGGTCACTGGTACATAACATACCCCGTTTTCCTTGCTTTCCCGGAAGTACTTTTGTTCTCAAGTCAATATCTTATCATGATTCATACATATTAACTTCCAAAAAAAACATCGTGGAGGAATTTTGCTATTGGTATCATTCCCACCTTTAACTGTGTAGTTTTCAAACACCTGTTTGCATACTCATCTTGTTATGAAACACCAATTTATCACAAGCATGTTTGAAACAGAGTAAAGCGATGACTTTTAGGATCTTGTCACTTAGACATCGTGTCCGTTTAAAATGAGCGAATGCAAATTACTGAAAGGTCTTCCATTCGCAGGGAAATTTCATAATGAAATTATGTGGGTTGAAAAATGTCTTTTCCTCATTCTTCGCTATTGTACAGATTCACTCTCAGCTTATGTCAGTATCAAATTCTAGTTGGTGGTTCTTCTGTTCTTCTCTTTCACGGCTGAATTACATGAAATATAACGACATTAGAAGTGATTTTTTCGCAAAACTGATCGTTATATTTCATAGGACGATTACTTTTCAAGAGAGTGCTTCATATCTTTTGCTTATGGATTTTAATACTAACCGATAAATTATTCTGGGATGTGTTAATAAACAGCCGATACATAAAGTGAAATAAGCATGATGGATTTATAATTAGTTAAATTATGTGGAACAGGTTTTCTCTTAGTCTTTGTTGCTCGAAAGGATTGTTCAAAACGCAAGATATTGTTTTTTTTAAAATTTGGAAAGCTAAACTGTTTTACCATGTTCACCAATGTGGGTTGTTCAAAAGAAATTGGACTAAGGTGTAATATTTACTAACAATTTCTAGCAAGGTTATCCCATCGTGTGTGTTCTATGTCATTTCAGTATGTTGCAAGTGAATCTTCCTAGTACTTCTAACTCATATTTTTTCTATTTTCAGATTGTCGACGTGGTCAGTCACTAGTGGTGCACGCAATAAATGAAGGAAGACAAGCAGCGCGTCAAGTGGACCTTGATTTAATGGGCAAAACTCAACTTCCAGGTCCTGGTGGAATAATAAAGACTGCAAATTTAAGATAGATTTTTATACCCTATAAGCGCTTCTGTTTGGGTTCACATGTGCACACACAGACACAGACACTGTGATCTACTGCACAAAATGCAAATGGTGCTCAGGAAATGATGCCTAGAATAATCCTCATCATCATCATTTATGTTTGTTGTTTGAAGCTTATTTTTTATTAATGTCTTGATTCTGTTTATTACTTTACTTCATGCCGTAATAAACGTTTTATTAATAAAAAGATACATATTCATGAAATGAAATTTTATTCTATTTCCTGTACGTTAAAAATGAGTTATAACAAAATAAAAGCACAGAATGAAGACAACAACAGAATATGTTTCACTCAATTGTGTTTACAAGTTATGCATTACTTTTCAAAAGAGTTATTGTTTTATCACTACTACATACATACACACTTGCACACATATAGATATACTTATTTTATGTATGCCTAGATAGACAATCTGTTGCATTTTGTTGTATCAATCTTTTCTCCTGTTTATTTCCTGCAATCACTGGAATTAACTCAATCGTGAAGAATGGATTAGCAAAACAGTACTGATACTCTTAGTTTTCTCATGTCATTGAGCGCATAATTTAACATAATGCATCATTATCTCTCCATGAGGATAAGCTCTACTCCTGTTTTCCTTTTCGGTCTATTTATTTCTGTTTTATGTGTGCATGTGCGACTTCGTCTGCTTCTTTTTCTTCTGTTTCATCTATCTTTTTTGCGTTTCTAGTTTATTAAACAACTGTTCAATCATTTGGATAGAGAAAATTTCCTCTTTCTGTCTCTGGTACTCTAAAACGTCATCCAATAAAAAATAAGGTTAGCGAAACACAGCGTTTGTCAGACTATGCAGAAAGAATTAAGTGAATCAGGTGAGTGAACACAACAAAACAGACGCACAAACAAATACATTCATACATATACAAAAAGTATTGGAGAAAATCACTCACAAAAGGCCCTCTTCATCGATAATTAATATCATTCGAAAAGTCTTCAACAAACGAAACAAAACTGCTAATATTTTCATTATAATCTTTACAACTACTTCCACTAGTATTTACTCTGTTTACTGTAATGTATTCTGCGAACTTTAAGTTGGACACATGCTTATTCATGATATTCGTTCATTGTTTCTGTAGACTTTACACCTTTTTTCTCACTGTCTCGAATTTTCTCACTCTTTCCTTGTTGGCTTGCTTTGATAAATGTATCATTGCATCAGGCAAAGAAATACCTACTAATTATCATTGATTTGAATGCCAGTAATACAAAAGCACTTTAGAAGTCTATTGTTTTACTGTAGGCGTAGGATTCAGATGCTGCAGTGGAGCGTAATTCCATTTTAGGTTAGTTTATTTGATGAAGCAAACTGTAATAAAGTATTATTTACTGGATGACGTTTCAGATACAACTTATTGGTCTCCTTGTTACTATTAGGCTCAATTATTTGTCCCTGAATTGCCATGCAGTTAATAAAACTGTATTGTTGTGCACTACATAACGATACAATAATCTGTGTCGTCCTACTTATCCACGTAAGATTTATTGTTGTCATAGTAAGTAGGACTGCTATGCAAATATATGAAAGTAGAGGGAATGAAAATGTGATTTAGATGTTGTATGACTACCGTAACTGCAAGGAATGCATTTAATCACTCTTGATCACATTTGCTTTCCACCTAGGCTTCATATTGCCAATACACATTGCGTAGAGTAATAAATATGACTTGAAAAAAATAAGAAATGAAATTAGTAAACTCGAGTACAAGTCATTGCATATTTTCAGTTTGTCGCCTGTTAGGCTTGAAATCGTATAACAGACCGTCAATATATGTTAATTCATCAAAACGAAGCACGGCTGTGAAACATTCGTTAAAAATCATCAACACTTTGACAAAATCAATATATACGCAAATATAAATTTTTGCTGGAACACAGAAGCACACTTTTCGTGACGATGAAAAAAAATCCTTTTGAACTTGTCAACACTTCCGATGACAGTACTAATTGCTAGGCTCGAAAAGTTGTAAAATAAACTAGGCATTCACTTAGAAATCTTTATTTACAATATATGTGAGCGTAGACCGACAACTGCATGCAGACTCGTGCAGTAGGCGAAGAACTATATTTGTCATGGGATTATTAGTGTTACTGTTTGGTTGCCGAACTGTCTGTAGGTCGAGTGGTTTTTGAATCTATGACACCTGGCTTGAATGTCAACTATCTCGACCAGGAAACAATCACATTTCACTTATACGGCTTGACAGTTTCAACGAGTGGCTTTTGATTCATTTATATGACACATGAGAAATGAAATTCAAATGCTATCGATAGATGTTCTCTGTTTTGCTGCTTTAATCAAAATCCTCTTGGTAATTTAGAGAAAGTTTTTATTTTCACCTTTAGCTTGCAAATGAAGCTTTGGCATACTTTCTGCACACTATCTTGACGACAGTCATATATATATATATATATATATATATATATATATATATATATATATATATATATATATATATATATATATATATATATATATATATATATATATAACAAGTTGGCAGAAGAGGCGTGGCAGCGGAAACGGGACTTCAAGTGAGGGTAGAGAAGACAGAGGTGATGAAGATACCCAACCAACAACAACAAACTCCAATCACCATCAATGGGAGAAACCTGAAGGAAGTAGCCTCTTCCACCTATCCATGCAGCATCGTTTCAACTACAGGTGGCGGCACAGACGAGGACATCAAAGACAGCCTGGATCGGAAAAATGGCAAGACAGGCGTTCATTAGCCCGAAACCAGTGTCGAGATATTCTGCACTCAACATGTGGAACAATAAATATCCGGATTTTCAACACCAACTTCAGTCAAGTCAGTGCTTCTGTATGACTCAGAGACTTGGCGCGTTACCAAAGCGATTTCCAACAAATCACAGACATTCATCAACAACTGCCGCCTACGCTGGCTCCTTACTGAAGATCACATGGATTGCCAGAATAATAAGAATAAGCAACAAGGAACTCTGGCTGCTTGCTGGCAACGAACCAACCCGGAAGCTGTCGTTCAAAAAATATGCACTGGAAGGAAGTGGAGATGGATTGCGCATACACTGAGAAGACCGACTGGGGACATCACTGTGGACTGGGGACAGGACAGGCCAGGCCAGGCCTTCGAGTGGAATTCGAATGGGAAACGACGAGTTGGGAGTCCGAGGCTAGGGTGACATGTAGTAGATGGTGTGAGGAAGAAATGTGAGCTTGTGGGCAGTTGTGGCTACAGGTTCAAAAGATTGCAGGGTACAGAGTGTAGTTGAGACGTGCTACTGAATCCCTATGTTCCATTAGGAACCCAAGGGATAAATAAGTAATAATAATGATTTGTTTGTGTATCTGCATTCTGTCTTCTTACTTTGGATGGATGGCATTAGTTCGGCTTATTTTTTTCGCCTTTGTTCAAAAACTTCGATGAAGTGAAACCACAGTTTTTGCATACTATGATGCAGCAACTCACCACCAAACAGGTACATATTCGTAGACCTAGCTATAAACCATATCAATTCCTTTAAATAGCCATCAGGTATTACCTTTACATTCTTAGTTGAAATTTGTGTGGGAACAATCCTTGGCTCATGAACTTTTCAAAGTTTTAACTCGAAATCTCACTAATTCATTCATACTTGAAACTTCGCACTGAATGAAAAGTAAGTGCTTTTTAGCTGAGCGAACAGATATTGTTTGGTTCACTTATCTAATACTTAACCTTAAGGATAGCTTTAATCCCGTAAGCTGCAGGATCACTGAATGTCAGACAAATAAAGTTCTGTATCATACAATATTCTAAATACAAGATTTCTATATCATACTATGTTCTGTTACAGCGAAGTGTTTTCTGCTTCATATCTATGATTAAGCAATATGAAATCTGTTCAGAAATATTGGTGGTATATGGTGCAGTAGTCACATCATCAATTTTCAGGCTCATACATGATTTTTAACTAAAGAAGTTGAATTGTTTGACCGTGATTTTGGTCTACAACGACTGGGATAATTGTTACAATCATTCACACATATGCAGTCATTAAGTAGGTAGATGCATCGCCGTGACTGAAGTGGAAGAATAAGGAAAGGTGGAAGTTCTGTAAACGAAGATGGGCTACCAGTCATACAGTAAGCTGCTGTTAGCGTTGACAGAACAGGGAGGCATGTAACCCCTGTGACTGAAGTCAGTAAGTTATTAGAAATCATTGTTAATACATGTCACATGATATTATTCAAAATTAATCTCAATTGTATCCACTTTTTATCCTTAAATCAGTCGTGGGATTGAAGCATTTTCAGACTGATCGTTTGATACTCAATGAAATTTGACTGACAGAATATTCCACAGAACAATTACTTATGAAATCATGTTTGTGCACTATGTTAATCATACTGATTTTGAACTGTCCATGTATGCCATCATTTTTGATTTAAAAAAGGGACTTGCATTTCTTAAGTCGGTGGTAAAGATATGCATGCAGATATAAAGTTTACTAGGTATATGAAGTTTTGTAGCTTTTTTCAACAAGTTTTCGTTGCCAACAAAATGTGTACCTATACAAGGAATGTTTTTCACTCCACACATATGGCTTCTACTATGTTACACAGTGTGATTACCTGTTTATGAGGTCTACATGATGGTTTAAAGTACGTTACTTCACTGAGTCGATGAGAAGCATGAGTTTAGTCTGCCAACAATGTATTTCAAAATCAAGAAAACTTATTAGTTGTAACAAATACATGTTGAGATCCTACTCTGCAAAACAGGGAATAAACAAACCAATGGATAATTCTTAGTGAAAAATAAAAACGGTGCTTTTAAAAAAAACTCGCTGCTGTGTTGGTTCTTTCCAGCTGATTTTGTTTTCTCAACTGTTAGAATCGGCTTACCATAAATCTTTCTTTAAAACTATTTTAATGCGTACATTCAATCACCAATAATAGGCTATTCACGTTCGGTA